GAAATTTTTTTTTTTTTCAAAATAAGGGGAAGTATTAAAGTAATATAAGAGCCAGTATTTCCACTGGCTGTCACCTGTGTTCCCTAAGCCTTTTATATTTGTCCCATTCTGGACATCACATATTTCTGTGTCTGACTCTTCCATGAATCTGTCAGCTGCTTGAGGTTTATTCCCAGCACTATCACAGCACCTGGCGATACTAGATGTACGAACATTGGTGGGTCTTACTGAGATGAATCCAAACCCTGTCAATTCCTAAGCACCAGTGAGGTCTAATTTGGCTGGGTAACTTTTAGCCACTAGGACTAACGGGAAGTGTGTTATTTATTAAATATTTTGTATTAAATATTTCCTCTTGCAAATAGCTTTTTTTTTTTAAATTGCTAATTTGTTGGCAGCTTCTTACTTAAGGCCAACAGTAGGGCATGAATGACTCTGAGTACAGCCTGGCAGTTAACACAGAGAGGGGCCAGGGTCCAATCTCTGAGCACCGTGAGAATGTTTCCATTGTCTTCATGGCATCCTTTCCCCCATCACATCTCATCACCTTCGTCACAAGAACTGGCAAAATGGAACATTGTCTGATTTATGAATCTCCTACCACGTCTCCAGCAGCATGCTAGTTACTGAATTACTAAGGATACGGAGAGGAATAAGAAGCACCTAGGGAACACGCTGTCCTGGTCAGGCAGCGTGCCAGGCTGGGAATACAGCCGTTGGTTCCTACTCGCATAACATTTAGATGGTATTTCACATTATAATGGGATGGAGAGAAATGAGTTGTGACAGGTGCAATAGCACTGAACATAGAGAAGGGAGCAACTAATTCTGCTACTGTGACAGGAAAGCTCCGGAGAGAATCAAAATTTGACTTTGGCCTTGAAACATGGATGGGCTTCCCTAGCCTAACAAGGATCCCCTGTATAAAATGCACACTTATATATCACACACACACACACACACACACACACACACACACACACCTATCTCTGATCTATTTTTGTCTGCAATTAAAACTAGAAATTAATTAGGAAATAAAATACATTTATATTTACTTATTTTTAAATTTATTTTGTTGATTTTAGAGAGAGAGGAAGGGAGAAGGAGAGAGAGAAACATCGATAAGAGAGAACATTGATTGGCTGCCTCCTGCATGCCCCCACTGGGGATCGGGCCCACAACCTGGGCATGTGTCCTGACTGGGAATCAAACTGGTGACCTCTTAGTGCATGGGTCGATGCTCAACTGGGCAAAAGACATTTACATTTAAAATAACAACTTACAAGAGCATAGTGCTAATTCTATCAAATGATTATTCTTTCAAATATTATTTCTGATCATTGAACAATTAATTTATCAATCACAGACCTCTTTTTTAAAAATAAAAATCAAAACAAGAAAACATTTGAAAAAAGAAAAGGAAAAGAAGAAACAGAGGAACAGAGACATAAATGGTTTATCACAAATTTGGACTTTTTCACAGTAGTCTTTGTGATTAAGTTAGAAAATAGCCCCCCCTTGTGACCAAAAATCAGCAAATTGGGCATAAAGAGCCCCGTTGAAGCCAACCGTAAGCAAGCCTCCAGAAAGGAGGAAGCAGGAACATGGGGCAAGACCGCTCCTTCAGGATGATGTTATTGTTACATTTCTTATGTTAGAAATTGCTGTTTGTAGAGACGTAAAGCACCCCTTTGTTTATGCTGTTGTGGTTAATTCTGATTTTATTTATTTATTTGCTTGCTTCTTTGTTTTAGGAAAAAAGAGAGAGATCGATTTGTTGTTCCATTCATGTATGCATTCATTGGTTGATTCTTTCTGTGCCCTGACGGGGGACCAAACCCACAACCTTGGCTTATCAAGATGATGCTCTAACCAGCTGAGCTACCCAGCCAGGGCTTCACTCTCATTATTGCTTCTAATTCAAAAGCAGATTTATATTTGATCCATCTTGTAGAATTATTATTTTTTAAACCCTTCTATTACTGGTTTTATTTATTTTTATCTGTTATCTGTTTTCTACATTTTCTCTATGTCTACTTCTGTCCTGTAAACATGCACAAAGGTGAAAAATCTCAATAAATATTTTAATCTATTTCTTTTCCAAAATTATCACCTGCAATTAGATAACTAGTAGAAGTAACACCTTTGAAAGATGAGTGGGGATTTGGAAAGATGAATAAAATAAAACATTAGGTAGTCAGAAACAATTTCTAAAAATTAACTATTTTTAAATCAGCTGTCTTTAATATATCCAAATCTCCACATACTATTAAAATAATGGCATAGTCATCAGTTATTATTTTAGATAACCACAACTGATTGGTATAGTCCCTAAATGCCAAAGACTCCTTGTTTGAAGGTGTAAAAGAGCAACCTTACCAAGACAATACAGATCCCAGTTAGCTTTACTACCTAGATAAACGCTGAGGCAAATCACCGATCAGCCAATTTGTATTCATCCCTAGGAAACAGCAAATGGCAAAAGCAAAACATAGTTTTTACATAGCTTTGTAAACACAAAAGTATATGAGCTTAATCTAACTAAGGTTTTGATGAACTGAGACTAAGGTGGAACTAATGTGTTGACCCAATTCCCCTGAATAACAATAATAATAGCTCTTAGTATAATTATTTGCTCTCATATTTATGGAGGTTTTACTATTAGCCAGGCACTCTACATGTATTATCTCATGTACTACTATTATAATTCCCATTTCACAGATGAGGAAACTGAGGCTTAAAGAATTTAAATGATGTGCCCAAGACCAAGTCACAGGTCAGCTTTCAAACGCAGAGCTGGCTCACTGCCTCTTAATTACTGTTTGTTAGGAGCCAGGGCTGGTATTCCCAGGCTCACCCACTCCCACCCTCGCACTTTACGCTCTAGCTAGCTGGGCCTGGATATTCAGTTCAAGCTAAACAGCTGAGAGAGGGCCACCTTCCACATGATGTAATCCCCAAGGTGCTCAACAAAGACACCATTGTTAGGAGAGCCCAATAGCATGCTTCAAGCACCAAAAGTCAAAGGGGGGAAAAGTGTGGCATTTTGACTAAAGAGAAAGGCCAAGGATTCAGTTTGGGACCATGCTTTAGGTTCTTCTAAAGGTGAGGATGTAGACCTTCTGGTCTGTGAAGTGTAATATTAGATGATAATTACACCTCCTAGAATCCGGAATCCAGTTTTATCCGGGTTTGTTTCTCCAGGGCGCTGTCTCTAGGTCTGGTGTGGGTTGGGAAGGAGCAGTGTAGTCTGGCCCAGTCCTGGGAACTCATGTTCATCTCAGGTCACCCATCGGCCACCTCATTCCCTCTCTGCCTCCACATTCCACAGGCAGAGCCCTCCTGGAGTGGATCCATGTGCAGAACAGGCACTGAAGGAATATTTGTTAAGTGGAGGAAGTGACACAAAGGAGTCTTAATTTAGAAAGTGGATAAGCTAGGTGGAGAAAAGGAGGAGGATATACAGAGTAGAAAGAACAGTGTGTACAGCAATTGGGCAACTGCCTGGACTGGTGGCTCAGCTGGGTGGAGTGTGTCCTGTGCACCAAAGGGGCAGGTCCCGCCCGGTCAGGGTGCGAGTGGGAGGCAACCTATGATGTATCTCCCACATTGATGTTTCTCTCTCTCTCCCTCCCCCCTCCGCCTCACCCTCCCTCTCCCTCTCTCCCTCTCTCTCTCTAATTATTCAATAGAAACATATCCTCGGGTGAGGGCTAATCAAACAAAGCTGGGCAATGTGAATCGTTAGGGAACTGCAGCGACTGAACACGGCCGGGCAAAGTCTGTGTGATGTGGGGCGAAGGCCGTGCAGCTTCTCAGCTGAGCCAGGACTCTGGCGTCCGCTAGCTTTGGTCTGAGTCCTGCTTCCGCCTCTCACCAGCGGTGTGTCTTTGGGCACGTTATACAACCTCTCTGTGCCTATCTCATGGGCTGTTAGAAAGATGAAACAAGATAAAGCATAGGGGTGTTTGGAACAGTGCACTCAGCAGGTGTGAACGCCTGTGGTTATCATGTGGGTGAGTGGGGGGTGGGGGACAGGTCCTGGAGTTCCCTGCGTAGAAAGGAAGACCAGTGATGCCGAAAGCCAGAGAGTGTTTGAAGGTTTGTAGGAAGGTGGAGTCAGGGTGTGATTTGAATTTTAGAAAGGCAATTCTGGGAAGGGTGCAACGGCACTAAACTGAAGGCAGGAGGACCGGTGAGGAAGCAGCTGCAGTCTCCCAGATGAAGAGGATAAAGACTTAAACCAAGTTAATTCCAGGTGCAGTGGAGAGGAGAGGGAGCCCCCATGTGGTTGGCAGGGCTAATCACAGGTGTCGGCCCCGGACCCAGGGGGAGGGAGGCTGAATCTGTCAGGCAGGGCAGTTGGGTGGGTGAGGATACCAGTCACCGCGGGTGGGAGCACTAGGCAAGGGGTGCATTTGGAGGAAGATGAAGAGCTGAGTTCTGTTCACGGTGTCTTGAATTTTGGACGTGTTGGGTTCGAAGAGAACAGCCGAGCACCAGTAGGCAGTGGATAAGCAGGTTTGTTACTTCAGAGAGCGATCAGAATTCTGATAAGAACTCTAACCATCATTAAGTGGAGCTGTTTACACTTCTGGGCTGAAGAACAATACTTTTGGGGGTGGGGTATTTAAGATGCTCTCTCTGCTTTGATTATAGATCTTAATATTAAAAAGTTGAACACATGCCATCTAGAAAATGGTGAAGTTGGGAGATTCTTTGGGCAGTTCAGGAACATTATTATTTATTGTCAGACAGTAGTGACTAAAACAAAGGCACTGCCAGAATTAAAGACAGACAAGTCATTGATTTAGTTATACTTTGAGGATTTTATTAGCTGACCTTTGCCCTGCCTTTGTCTGGAACACATAATTTATAGCCATTATTTAAATGCGTGCAAATATTTACGTGTGTATATATGTGATGTGTTTGTAATTTTACACCTTTCAGTTATTCAACAACTTTGCAATGCCTCTGCAATGTTCCAAATTTCCCCGCAGGTATTTCTGATGAGTATATAACGCCGATGTTTAGTTTTTATAAAAGCGTGGGAGAACTGAAAATGACTCAAGAAGAGTATGCTCTGCTTACAGCGATTGTTATTCTCTCTCCAGGTAATTTTGATGTGAGATTTTTATGCTATTTGTTCATTTTTTTCAGTATAATCATAACAGTGTTTATTAAAGAAAACCTGGGAAACACAGAAACATAGCAAAGTGAAATGGCCGATAATCCATCTGCTTCCATTCGAACCATGTTAACATTTCAGCGTATTTCTTTTCTTTTCTTTTTTTTTTAAATCCTCACCCGAGTATATTTTTTCTTTTTTGGTCCAGATAGAGTGAGAGGAAGAGAGAGAAAGAGAGAAACATTGACGTGAAAGGGACACATCGAGTGGCTGCCACCCGCACGACCAACCAGGGCCGGAGACAAACTGCAACCGAGGTTCCTGCCCTTAGCAGGAACCAAACTCGGGTCTCTCTGTACCGCAGGCTGGTGCTCTAACCGCTGAGCCAAACTGGCCAGGGCTTCAGTGTATTTCTTCTTGGCCTTTTTTTCAAACCTGACATTCATTTCATGAATGCATTTTTTTTTTTTTTTAATCCTCACCCAAGGATACTTTTCCATTTATTTTCAGACAGAGTGGGAGGGAGAGAGAGAGAAAGAGAAAACATTGATGTTAGAGAGACACCCTGATTGGTTGCCTCCTGCACGACCCCAACCAGGGTGGGGGGACTGAACTGCAACTGAGGTGCATGCCCTTGACCAAATCAAACTTGAGACTCTTTGGTCCGAGGTCCGATGCTCCAGCTGCTGAGCCAAACCGGCCAGGGCAATGAGTTCACTTTTAGTACCTACTATGTACTAAACGTGATTCTAGACATGGGGGATATAGTCATAAAGAAACAGGCAGGATACAGCTCCATGGAGCTCACTACATTCTAATAGCGGAAGAAAGACAGTAAATGAAGAAACAAATAAAAATAATGGGGGGTAATTATTGAAGGAGTAACTGCTACAAAAAATATAAAGATGAGAATATAAAGAAAGAAAGTGGCAGTAGAATGTTATTTTAATTAGTGGCCACGGAAGACTTTTCTGAGGGGTTCTTGAAGCAGGGACCTAAATTAAATTACATACTTTTTAACATAATAGAAAACATACTGTCTTTTTTTTTTTTTGAAGTGTACTTTTCCTTTTTTGAAAATTAAATTTATTGGGGTGACTTTGGTTAATATGATCATATGGGCTTCAGGTATGGATTTCTGTTACAAGATCTGTGTATTGTACAGTGTGCCTACCACCGAAGGTCAAATCATCCTCTGTCACCATATCTTAGGCCCCCTTCACCCCTCCACACCCCTGCCCTAAAGTGTACTTTGCTTCAAAAGTCTTTCCCCGTGTCATCAAAATATTATACTGGTAAAAGTTTATTGTAATACGTGCATCATATTCCATTGCATCGATGACCAATGATTTACTTGATTTTTACCATATGTTTGGATATTCAGAATTCTTCCAATTTTTTTGTTGTTCTGAACAACATTGCAATGAATACCTCCATACATGTATTTTTCTATATTTTTTGCTTAAATTATTTGGGAGTAAGTGATGCCGCATTCATAATTTGTGGCCTTAACCCATTTTATGCATAATATTAAATCAGAAGCTAGTTGTTACTTTGCTGTATCATGAAACTATTATAGTTAAAAAGAAGAAAAACATTTTGGCAGTACCTACTCACGTTACACATGTACAAAGCCTATGACCCAGCAATTCCAGTCCTTGGGCTGTACCCACCAAAATGGTACCTATGTTCACCATGTAGGTTCTCTTGGGGGCATTAATTGGAAGGGGAATTTAGGGAGGCCTGTACATTTGCTATATCTTGATCTAGTTGTGATTCTGAGCACATGGATGTGCGTGTGTGAAAATTCATCAATTGAACGCTCCACTTGTACATTTCAACGGTACAACGTGTGTGTTACACTTCCAACAGGTTAGCCTTACTCTACGTCAAACCTTCCACTTTGTAATTGTGTTGTTCTGTGCTAAACTTCGAAACAGACAGACAGTACATAAAGGACAGAGAGGCCGTGGAGAAGCTGCAGGAGCCGCTGCTTGAAGTGCTGCAGAAGCTGTGCAGGGCCCACCGGCCTGAGGACCCTCAGCACTTCGCGCGCCTGCTGGGCCGCCTGACGGAGCTGCGGACATTCAATCACCACCACGCAGAGATGCTGATGTCCTGGCGGGTCAACGACCACAAGTTCACCCCGCTCCTCTGCGAGATCTGGGACGTGCAGTGAGGAGATCGCAGGCGCAGGGCTGGCCCGCCATCGTCCCCCCAGTATAAGTCTGATGTGTACCTTTCCTTTACTTCATTTGTACCTGGTTTCACACAAGAATGCCGATGAATATTTATGTAGTAATTATGTAACTCCCACAACTGTAAATACGGGGCTAGGTAGAATGACTTCCTCTACTTTGTATTTTACACGGCTTCAGGGACTCTTCAGTTCGAATTGGCATGCCCTGTTTGCCTAATTGAATTGATCATTACTTCAGTTCTATCTGTTGAAACAGGGAGAATCTCATTTCGCTCTTCGTCTTCCCTTATTGCATAGATTTCATTAAGCAGCTGTGTGCACCTTCGGCAATAAACTGAACACAAAGGCAACAGGCTTTTATTTGGGAATGGAATTTGAAAAGATATACAAACTCTTATTTCTGTGAATGATGAATGACATTCTATGGACTCTGAGGGGAATAATTTACAAAGAGATAAACTCTCACAACACAAATGGTACATTCTTCATCCCTGGAGAAGCCCTGGTGAACAGTCACTCATTTGTAGTAGCCCTCTGATCATTTCATTTTCTTTGAAGTTCAAAGAGAAGAGCATACAGAAAAGTTAATGATTGTCACGTAAAATATTCCCCAGGCACATTGGTTATGCTTTTAGGGGGGGACACTTCCCACAGTCAGGGTCTGGTGGCAGCATTTACATATTCCATGGGTACAGATAACTCCAGGATGGGACATTCCCTTTTCTCTATTAAAAGTGCTCACTGTTGGCTTCAGTGCATATAATTAATCATTTTGTTTTGTTTTGTGTTGCTTTTGGAAAACACTCCTTCAGCTGGGTGCACAGCTGTTTTAGACTTCCCCCAAAGCAGGAATTAGTCATTTCCTCCCTTCATTGTTATACTGTTGCATTCTTCTCCCCATTATCCTTTGGTGAATACAATAAAACACCTTCTATAAATAATGGGTTTATATCTCCCTTTCTCCTGAAGTCAGCCAAAATGGAGCTTGCTTAGCAAGAAAAAATTTTTTGTTTTTGTTTTGTTTTGTTTTGGTATTAAAATACTGGGGCGACCCTGAAGTCCTAAAAATAGCTATTCAGTGGGAAAGGGAGTGGGTTGGGGCTACATCAGTTGGATTCCATCCCTGGAACAAAAAAGACTTGAATCCCCACTAAGTACAAGATTCTTTTGCTAAACTCCATGGGAATGTGAAGATGACTGACGCAGTAATTACCTGGAGAGGCTTACAAAGAAGCACAGAGGAATGTTGTATGGACTCAACTGGGAAGGTCTCATGGAGAAGGTAGCACTTCCCCGGGGCTTGGAAGGATAGCCAGGACTTGCAGGGTCAGAGTAAGAGGGAAGGGGATTACTGACGTTAACAGACCACAGATGGGGTGCACAGTCCCTTTCTGAGCCCCCGTCTTACCATTGTAAAATGAAGGCATCAGCACCTGCCGTGTAAAGGGATTTAGCTGAAGAGTAAGTGAGACAGCGCAAGCCCACCAGGGGTGAAAGGTAACGAGGAAAGGACATTTAAAACAGAGAATTAAACTTCTGAATGCCTGAAGGAGTAGATCCCATTTGGGGAACTGAGTGTGGTCTCCAGACCACAAGGTGTCCGTGGAGAAAGTGGGGGGAAAGGGGCTGGAACTGAGGGGCACTGTCTGCAGAGCTAGGAGTTAATCCTATACGTCCGGGTTTATTCAAATGGTTAAGACCTTGCAGTAGCAAAAGTCTGATGCTAATTGTGATACACTAAGAAATACATGTTTGGTCTTTGTCCCCGGTTTCTGACACAGAGCCTCTAAAAGCCTTGGAATTTCCTGAGCGGATAGGAGCATCTTTCATTATTCATAACAAGCTCCTTTCAACTATACCTGTGTCCATGCTCATAAGGTAACTGTTTGTGGACCTCTACATGCTTTTGAACGGGGCTGATTAGCAGAGGAACCGCCTCTGTTATTAGAGGGCTAGAACTTTCAGCCCCATCCCTGACCTCTGGGGAGGGGAGAGGAGCCCACAGGTGGTAGTCAATCACCAATGATGAGTGATTTAATCAATTATGCCCATGGAGTGGAACTTGCATAAAACCCCTTACTGATGGGGTTTGAAGAGCTTCTGGGTTGGTGAACACATCAAGGTGCTGGGGCGGGGGGTGACATTATGGGGAGAGCATGAAAGCGCCATGCTCTCCTCCTACCCCCAACCTCCCCAACCCATACCTTACTTTATGCCCCTATTTCGCTGTTCCTGAATTGTATTCTTTTTTTTTTTTTTTTATCCTCACCCGAGGACATTTTCCCATTTTTTTGTTCAGGTAGAGTGGGAGGGAGAGAGAGGAAGACAGAGAGAGAGAGAGACATCGACGTGAAAGGGACACATCGAGTGGCTGCCACCTGCACGACCAACCAGGGCCGGGGACAAACTGCAACCGAGGTACGCGCCCTTAGCGGGAACCGAACCCGGGTCTCTCAGGACCGCAGGTCGACGCTCTAACCGCTGAGCCAAACTGGCCAGGGCCTGAATTGTATTCTTCATAATATACCTGCAATAGTAAGTAGACTGTTTTCCTGTGTTCTGTGAGCCATACTAGCAAATATTGAACCTGAGAATGGTGTCATGGAAACCCCTGGATTATAGATAGTTGATCAGAAGTACAGGTGGGGACAAGTACCGGACACTTGTGGGGCTGGGGCAGTCCCGTGCGACTGGGCCCTTAATCTGTGGGCTCTGTGCTAAGTCTAGGTAGTACTGTCAGAACTGAAGTGACTTGTAGGACATCCAGTTGGTGTAAGAACTGGCTGTTAGTGTGGAAAAAAACATATATTTGGTGCCAAAACTGTGAGCAGAAATAGTTCACTAATGAAGTTTTCTATCCAAAAAAATTTTTCTGAGATTTTAAGGAAAAATGAAAAAGAAAAATAAAGAGAAAAAGAGCAGTTCGAATTTGTGATCAGATGTAATATGCATGAAGAAATACGGCAGAATCTGGTTTTAAGGTCAGAAAATGTATATCATCGATACAGAATATCACAGAAGCAGAACTGCCACTAATTAGCCTTGTGACCTTGGGGAAAACTTTTAAAGGCCGTCTTGGACTCAGTTTCCTTATGTGTAAAATGTGGACAATATCTGATTCCTACCTCATAGGGCTGGTGTGAACATTAAGCATGATAATGCTTCAAAAGCAATTTACTTGGCGACACATGGCAGTACTAAGCACCCAATAAATGGTAGCTCCTGCTATTTATTATTATTGTTATTAATGCAACTGACTGTCAGAAGATGATATTACTGGTGTTGTAGTTCTAAATAGACCTCGAGCTTTGATATAGTGCGTGACGGTGGTGAACAAAACAGGAAAGGGACCTGTGCCCATGGAATCTACAATCTAATAAAGGAGACAGGCAGGAAGTACATACGAATGAAATAAGCGCACTGTGATAAGTGCTATGAGAGAAGGGCGCCGCCCTCCCTCTTGGATGTGCACTTTTATGGGTCATTAGAACGACCTCTTGCTGACCTGGTTATGTCCCAGCGTGGTTTCCATTTGGCTTCAGCAAAAACTCTACTGAGACTCTTCACCCTCTGGTCCTACTCCAGCCTTGTCTCCTGGCCCTGCCTAAATTCTAGGTCCAGATAAAACGCCTTTCCCAGAAGGCTGTATTCCATTAAACTGAGTGAGAAAAGACAGAGAAAAAGACAAAGCAGTCTCCTCATTCTCTCCCTTTCCTTTCTCTGTCCCAACAGGTTGCAGCTGGAGGGAATTTTGGTTTCCCAGACAACACCTGGCAATGTCTGGAGGCAGTTTGGGTTGTCATGCTGGTGGGGCAGGGATGCTACTGGCATTATGTGCGCAGGGGCCAGGGATGCTGCTAAACATCCTACGATGGACAGGATGTCCTCCCATAACAATTATCTAGGCCAAAATATCAACAGTGCTGAAGTTGCTATTCTCTCCTGTCCGAAGAAGAATGACCCCTACACTGTACTTTTTTCTGACTTGATCTCTCTGCACCATCATTTTCTCATGGTGATGGCTTATCAACATTATGGACAATAATGTTATTAATGAATCCAACTACTGGCTATGATCAAGTGATTTCATTCTACTAAGCGAGAAAACTGCCATTTATTCTATTGGTTTGTCTTTACTGTGGAAAATAATACATCCAGTAAATTGTCAAATATCATGTATCGCATTTGACTATTACCTACTGTAGGGACTATCTGTTATGTTTTGGACACTGAGAATCCATTGCCTTTGCTTATGATAAGAGTACTCTGATTTCCTCGGGGGACCCACCTCCTTCCTTCTCCTAGTCCTTGTGTTTTTGGATGAAGCTGATTCTACCCTAGCATAGAATTGGAAATCTTACTCAGCCATAACCAATCAGAGCATCACACATCTTAGATCATGGTGAATGGTTTAGGATTAGGCAGGTGACCCATTCAGGGAACATGAGATATTTTGCTTGGAGTGTATTTAGGAGGCAGGCAGTGCTGGTCATTTGCTTGTCTTATTGTTCCAAAGTCTTTACTCTCTTCCTGCCCCGGGCCCCTGTGCCTGGCGAATTTGCGATGCCTCTCCTGTGAGTAGGCAGAACATGTGTCCCAGCCCATGGATAGGGGGCTTGTCCACGTGACTTGCTTTGGGCTATGGAACGTGGGTGGAGTGCCAGCGTGCCAGCTCTGAACTGAGGCCTCAAGGACATCACGTTTCTGCTCGCTGCTCTTGCACCCTGCCGTCTTCCCTGAGAAGAGAATGCCCCTGATGACTGACTGCAAGGCCCAGAATGAGAGTCAGAAGGAATAGACCTAAACCCAACAGACAGCTTGAAGCTGTGCCCTTCCCCTCCACTAGGAGCTCACTTGCAGATCCACGAGCAAGATAAATCAGTGTTTATTATTGTAAACCACTGGGAGTTGGGAGTGGCATCATCACAGCAAAAACTTAAATAATATCTCCTATTTGTATTCAAATCATTCCTCCCCTTGCTTCTGCTCATGTTGGGGTAGGAGGAGGGCGAATCCTGCATTTTATAGGCTCCCCTGTCAGCTAGCTGTGGCCAGGTTCGATCAATGAAGGTATTAGTGGGAGACTGAAGGATAGAAAGAGAAAATCCAGGGCGTCCTCACTCTCTCTGCCTCCCATGGCCTCTTTGGTAGCGACTGCATCTCCTCTCGGGCACACCTTACCCTCCTGATGGTGGCCCTGCCTTCTGGATGCCTCTTTTGAACTTCCAAGCCCCAGAAGTGCAGTGGCTTCCTAGTGTTGCTCAGCTCTGGGTTGTCTCGTCTGCTCCTGTTCATTGTCTCAGTTCTTTTGTCTCTTCTGAAAATAAGTTTTGGTGTTACATTTCCTCTTTTTGAAGTAACCACAGTGGTTCATATATTCTGACTTGAGCCTGACTATACAGTTACTCACTTTTTTTTGTTAGACTTGAACCTAAGAGGATGTGGAACTTGAACTGCTGGGAGCCATCTTGTAACCAGAGGAAATCTGAGTATGAAGCCAATATAAACAGCAGAGACACTTGAGATGAGATTCTGGTTTTATTATTTGAAATCTTAGATTGGGCTTTGCCGAAAGTTAGAGAGTTCTATCCAAGGGTTTCAATTACATAAGCCAATGATTCCCTTTTTTCATAAGTGAATTTGAGAACTTTTTCCTATCATATATAACTAAGAATTCTTATTTCTTATAGAGAAACTCTTATAGGTCCATCCTAGCCTGATACATTCTGAGGTTCCAGACAAAGATGAATTTTGCAGGGGATACTATTCAATTCACCACATTATTAATATTTAGTATTAATAACAATAGTTTTACAATTTTATATCATTGAATTACTTATATATTATATTTGTTAATGTAAATTTGTAACATTTCTTTGACAGAGCTTAGTATTATTTTTAATACAGTTGGTTCTCAATAGATTATCTCCTGAATGAGTAGTTTAATTAATTGTGAATTAATCAAGATCCCTATTGCCCCTACATTTCATCTAGTATATCACCCAAGGCATAGTCCATAGATTGACACTTTTAATGTAAAAGCATTAAAAACAACAGTAGCAACCACAAAATGAAGAACAAAACAACTAATAAACCAAAAGCAAAATTAAAAAAGTCTCCAGCTATGGTCTATTTTAAGCAATAGAACATTTCCCTTAGGGCTGTGAGTCAAATGATATTTCAATATCAAGGGGTATATGAGAGAGCCTCTTCTGTATTCTGTGGAGAGGCTTAGTCAGATGAATGATTATTCTTAACATAGTACCTTAAAATTTAGACCTCCAAGCTCAATACTTTATTAAAGGAAGGTACATCTTCACAATTCTGGGAAAGACAGAACTGATAGACTGTCATCTGAGGGAAGCAGACTGATGAGGCTCACTCTGCATGTTACAACCATGTCAATTTCAAGTAAATTTCAAGTAAAATATAGCTATTAACCTAACCACCAATTAGAAATGCTACACATGAAAGTAGATTGCAGCTCATTAGGTGGAGTCCTCAATTACTAATTACAGTGTTTAAACCAAGGTAGGTGAGATGGTGAGCTGCGGAAGTGGGGTACTAAGTGGGATTAATGTAAAAGTGAGGTTGGGAAAGCAACACAGAGAACTGTTTTCTTCTTTATACAGAAGAGAAAAAGCAACAAGAATAAAATAACACTTCACCCGATCCCCACATTTAACCAGTGAAGAAGATGGGCTTAGAGAGGAGAAGCAGTTTGCATAGACTGGCTGTGGATTCACTTTCCAACATATTGTCTTATATCTGTATAAGGAAGAGAAGTTATTAAGACAAACCACATAGACAAAGAAAAAGTAAGTGACTATAAAATACCCTGCTGCCAACGTTACAACAAATGGTTTAGAAATATTGAGTGGGGTGTGTGTGTGTGTGTGTCACACATGAGTGAGACAGAGAGAGAGAGAGAGCGAGAGAGAGAGAGAGAGAGAGAGAGAGAGAGAGAAAATGTGTGTATATACCTCATATAGCATAATTTCAAATTTTAATAAGTGGTAGTCAAATGTTTAGGCACATTGTATGCATGCAAGAAAAAAATAAAGGAACTGTTAACTAAAGACTCATCATCAAACAAGATATATATAATATAATATATTTATTTTTCAGGTTCTGTAGAGAAGTGTACATATTTTTATATTAGGACTCAATAAATCCAATTTAAAGCCACAACACCACTTGACATTTGGCTAAATAAAGTGCTATGAAAATTGCCCTTAGTTTTAAATAAAAACACTATAAAACAGGTTGATTTGAACAACAGGTCCTGTAAAAATTGATCTGCTGTAGTCACGGTCGGCAAAGTGTTCTGGGATTTGCTATTGGGCATCAGATTCAATTACCACTTATATGTCAACTTTTGATGACCATCTTCACCCACCCAAAGATAAGCTCTGTGACAGCAGGACTCCTATGGTAAGGGCCGGCAAAGAACAAGTGCTCAAGAGTATTTGTTGGCTTGGTTTCTCAAATCTGTATCTCTTACACAAACCAAGTTAGTCAGCTTCAGACCTAACTTTCTAACTATCTTCTGAATACCTCTACCTACATGTTCTTTTTACACTTCAAACTGAACACACCTCAAACCAAAGTATATTATTCTTCCCCCAAAGTTGTCTTCCTGGTATTCCTTAGATTGTATCACTATCACATGATAACCAAGTGCGGATACACCAGCCTCTTAGGTAGCTGCAGACACTTCTTCCTCACCATCCCTTCTGAGCTAGTTTAGTCTTTAGAATTGCTGCCAGTCTTACTTCTTCAAAAATCCTTGAAAATGATTTTTTCCCCCTAAAACACAAACCTGTTCATACCATTCCCTCCTCATAACCAATTCCAATCACCTGTAAGAAAGAACCTAAACTCCCTATGGGGCGTTCATCTGTGCCTACTCTTCCAGCCTCCTTTATCTCCTGACCCCGAACTTGAGTCATTCAATACTGCTATTCCCAGAACCTCCTGGATCTCTCTGCTTGGAAAGCACTCCTTACTCCCAATTAGCCTTCCTCTTCGCAGGTTTCTATTTGTCCTTCAAAAGGCAACTTCTTTCAGACCATCCCCCTAGGAGACTGTTGGGGATGGTCTTGCACAGACCTCCGCAGACTTCCATTGACGGAGCCGTAACCACGCCGCTGAGCTCTTTGAGGGCAGGACTGTCTCCTTCACTCTAGTCTCTCCCACAAGCATTAGTTCTTGTGTTGTTTTTGATGAATGAGTGGAGGAGTGAATGTGTGAGAGAGAGAGACGGTCCTTCCAGGTCAATCCCCACACTTTGCAGACAGGGAAACAGGAGTCCCAGAGAGGGGACCTGATTTGACAAAATTTAACCAACAAGCAGAGAAGTGCCTGGAACGCCAGGCTTTTGGCCATCGATTTTTTTGTTTTTGTTTTTGTTTTTGGTAACGAACAAGCCACATTCACAGTTATTACAGACCTATCTATTGTTCCACGGAAGTCCACTCTGCGTGCTGGCAACCCTCAGAGCTAGTAGGCACGTCTCATCGTGCTGAGGTTCATTTTCTCCCCGGCTGTGCTGAAGGAAGTGCCAACATCCCCTTTCGGATTCTGGTGTAGCCTGAAGTTCTAGGAGTCCTTCCCTTCGTCTGACACCCCCTGACGAGAAGGGGGGCCTCTCTGAAAGGCTCCCGCGTTGGACTCCCGTTCCTGCTCGGTGGCATTTTGTCTCGGGAAACCAAGGCCCTTCTGGACGGCGAGATCGCGAGTGGATTTAAGGTCGGGAGGGGCCCTTAACTGATCTGGACGGAGCTCGGGACAACGCCCTCGAACACACCGGGCCACATTCCAGCAGGGGCGGTCACATTCCAGCAGGGGCGGTCGATTCAACGCTGCAGCCTATCGGGACTAGTAGGAGGGGCTGTTGCTGTCGCTGAGGGGCCAGGCGGGGGACTAGTGCTGCGACCAGGCCACTTCGTCTTTCAGGCGGAGGCGTGGACTGCGGCCGGACGGCGGAGGACGGGACCCACTGACTGGCACGCGCGCGCTGGTCTCGTGCTCCCGGGCGGCCGGGGGCGGGGCCTCCAGCCACGCCCTCTCCCCGCCCTCTGATTGGTCCCTTCGAAACAGGCGGCGGCGATCCGCGGCAGCGGTGGCGGTGGCGGCGGTTGGTCAAGGGCGTGCGGGCCTCGCACAGATTGAGCGGAGATGTCGCCCCGCAGTGTGAAGTGACCCTCCTGCGGGAGGACTGGTGAGTGTTTCCCTGTTTGCCTTCTCTTGTCCTTGCGAACTTGTGCTCGCCTTCTGGGGGTGCCGCGCCTCCACCCACTGTCTCGAGGGATCCCCGCGCTCCGCGGAGTCCGGCGGGTAGGTTGGGACCCTACACTGCGGAATTCCCGGCGCTCAGCGATTGGCCCCCTGCGGGAATCGCGTGCTCTGATTGGTTCCCGGCTCCCGAAGGTGACGCTAAGCCTCCTTCACCTGCCCACCTTGGTGTAGGCGAGGGGCAACAGGTGTGCTGGGGCGGCTGGGGCAGGTCGGGCGTGCTAGTGAAGAAGAGGTGTGGAGCGGCCGCCACCCTTGCTTTACAATCCAAACAGGGTTCAGAGCTTAGGGCCTCCAGGGGCACCCTCATTCCCAAGCGCTTAGCACATTCAGGGTCACTTGATTCCTCCAGTTCACCCCTCGGGAAGAATTGATGACCTCACGGACCTTGGAAAGGAAACGCCAGTCATGTCGCCTACCCTCTTCCCTATTTGCTCGGGGCAGTTCCTGCAGGGCCCAGATCGCCCAGATGGACGCCACAGGGCGACAGCCTCGGAGGCTCCGCGCAAAGCTTCCCTGCGCGCGTCTGTTTGCGGGGCTGCGTGTGCGTGGGTGGTGGGGCGCTCGTAGATTGCCTCGGAAATGCAAGAAAGTTTTGGAGCGCGTGCTTGCCCCTGCGGTCACCCTTGGTTCCTAACTAATCTTTTCAAACCGAGGCATTGAATCATATGAAGTTAGAATGCTCGTGGTAGGTATGGTGGAAAGTAGATTCAGTCGTTACTAAGTGAAGAGGTGTTTTTTTGCAGGCCCAGTCTAGGTCAGAATTTGGGTTTTGCGTGGAGATAAGCAGTTTGAGAACTGCTCTGTGATCACCTCTCTTGGCACTTACGTGATTAGGAATTGGAGTTCTTGCCAGCTCAGATCCCCTCTGGGAGGAGATTGGAATGGATTTGAATAAAAAAGTGGAAACTCAGGTAATCTTCTGGTGCACATACTGATACATGTCTGTCTGACTCATCTGTTTCAAAAACTCGTTAAAAATCAATGTGCAGTCCTGGCCAGGTGACTCAGTTGGTTGGAGCACCGTCTGGTACACCAAAGGGTTGCGGGTTCTGTTCGGGTCGGGGCATATGCCTAGGTTTCGGGTTTGATCTCTGGTCTGGTCCGGGCGCTTTCAGGAGGCAATCCATTGATGTTTTTGTCTTCCACGCTTTCCCTTCCCCCCTTCCTCCTCCTCCCCTTCCTTCCTCTCTCTAAGCATGTCCTCAGGTGAAGATTTAAAAAACGATGTGAAATGAATAGTAGGTGTCCCTGCTATTTTGAGATTACGGAATTAAAAGTATTATTTCCCTTTAGTTTAGCAGAGTTGCATGGGAACTCTGAAATCAGGCTTTACTTCGTGTGTGAATTTAGGCAAGTTATTTAATCATTCTAAACCTACATTTCCTATTCTGTAAAAGAAGGTTAATAAATAGTTCCTGCCTTATTGATGCAAGGGTTGTTGTGAGGATTAAATTAAACGATCCATATGACTGGTTTAGTACAATGCCTGACACAACGCTATTATTATTTCTATGCTGTTTAATTGGATTACATGTTTCAGGCTATCCCCAAAGGGTGGAGAGGAGCAGAGGTGAAGGCAGGGCCAGAGGTAGTGATAGTTATCATTCACTGATTGATACATGCGAGGCACTTACAATAGTATCTGGCACATACTAAACACTCTTGTTTTTCAAATACATTATTAGCTGGAATGTGCCAGGTACTGTGTTCTATGTGCCTTACTTACTGTTAAACCTCTTAGTAATTCTGCACTATAGTTGCTGTTACCTCCATGTTACAGATGAGGAAACTGAAACTCAGAGAGGATGTAACCTACTAAGGCCCTTCAGAATTCAATCCAGACTACCTCACTCCAATGTCCAGCTTCTTTTTTATAATACGCTGCCCTTGCATTTATAATCCCAGCATTAAGCAACTTCTGTGCACAGAGTTGTTTTTAGTGCCCAGGCTCATTTCTGCTGTGAGTACAGGTTTATTTTGATACTTCATTAATTAAAAAATAATGAGAAATAACTTGTGATGGTAAATCAAAGTATGTGATAAGAGAATAATGTCAACAGTATACGTGCTACTACTAGAAAACTAAATGAGTCCCATGATGTTTGGAGAATTTGTCAGTTCAGAAATAATGATTCCTAATTTATATTTTTGCAAAAATATTTAGTTTTTGCTTATTCACTATATTTTTACTAAGCAGCACTCTTCTAGTATTCTTTTTCCCCCTGTAAATCTTAATTTAAGTTTGTAGGTAAGAGAAGGAAGTTCAGTTAATTCAGTATTTTTTTTTCAAGCCAACTGTTGATGAGGAAGTAAGGGATTGAGGTTACCATGTATTAATATAGTATACTTTCTTAGAGTAACATGTCTCTGTGTGTTTTACTTCCTATTGCTTGTTGCTTTCTCTACTTTGATTTCAGATATACCTTTACATACCTAATGAACCATGTGATGTACGTAGGATTTGAGAAAACAGGAAACTTGAGTCCGTCAGTTGTCTCATTTCCAGTTTCCCCATTTTTCATTGAAATTTAACTGCCGTAGATAAATGCCTCAGAAGTAATGTTTACAAGATACAGGCAATAATTATAATTGTATTTTTTTAGTGTTTCTCCTAAAGACTCAAAAAGTTTTCTTATAGTATTACACTGTTACAGAGTAGGTTGTTTTAACAGAAAGTTACCATGTATTTCCTAAACAAATCGCTAATTCCCAAATAACTAGAATGTAATAAAATGTAGCAGACATTGCTATATGTAATTTTATCTTTGATACTGAAAATATCATAGTAATTTACAGTATTATGACCATTATATGCTGGATATTGCTGAAGGGCTGACTGATAGAGACTTTTGCCTATTGGCACACAGCATAAACTTTTCTGTAAGAAAGTATAATATTAGCTATGGCAAAGGATTCGCTTTATATAGTTTTAAACATGAAGACTTCTGATAATATTTTTATTTCCCCCAAAAAGTTGGCTGTTGAAAAATTATTTAGCTATGTTAAAAAGTTTTCTTTTATACACACACACACAATTTAGAAAACATTGTGATCTCAGTAATATAATTATTTAATGTAACTTAAAAAAATCCTTACCCTAGGATAAGAGAGGGAGGGAGGGAGAGAGGGACAGAGGGAGAGAGGGAGAGAGAGAGAGAGACATTGATGTGAGAGAGACACATTGATTGGTTGCCTCCTGCATAACCGTGACGGACCAACCAGGGCTAGGGACTGAACAGCAACTGAGGATTGACCAGAATTGAACCTGTGACTCTTTGGTTTGCAGGTTGACGCTCTAATGCTGAGCCAAACTGGCGAGGGCTCAGTAGTATAATTATGTATGCTTTTGGTTGCATAAGATATAATAGACATCTTTCCAGATGAGTAGATGAAGCTGTATCATATATTCTTTTAAGTGGCTAACTGAATCTCCTGTATGAATGTCCCATAAGTTATCTGAGCAGTTTTCTGCTAGTTTACACTTAGTGTTGTTTTTACATTTCTTTATGTTAGTGTCTGTGTGTATGTTTTCCATAGAGTCTTTTAGTCTGTCATATATAAAGGCAAACTGATTTTAAGTTCTTTTAAAAATGTTTTGTGTCCCACAAAATTTTATGACAAATTAATAATTCTGTCTAATATAAAATTAAGTTATTCAGGTTGAATCCCTGCCAAACATTGAAAGAGGAAAATTTCAAATAAGTCAAAGATTCCCAGCAAATGAAAAGTTTCTATATTTTGTAAGTAATATATGATGTTTTATTAAACTGTAAGAATCTTAAGTCTTCATTTGGCTTTGGAAGCTGCCTTTCTCTTAAATGAATACACCACAGACTTATTATTGTTTCATATTCCTTTTAGTAATAAATGCAACATTTGTTGTATTTAGGAGTAATTCCAGCAATAATTTTAGCACTCATTTCAACATAGAAGTAGACGAAATGGTTACTGTTACCCCCTCAAGGACCTTATTTTAAAAGTATTGAGTACAGTAAAATTGAAGCACATACTGCCGTGTAACCTAAATTGAAGAGGGATTCAGGGCCGCTTTTTGGAGGAATGGAATCTGGAGGACAGGCGGGAGCGAGTCTGGAAGAAGGAAGAAGAGAGTGTTCCATGTAGACGGAGCAGCTGTGCAAAGACCCAGAAATGAGAGGGCATATGCTCCAAGGGTCCAGAAGGAGTTCAGTATGGCGGGAGGGTACGGGGCTGGAGGGGTGGCCTCTAAATTCCACCTCTAAATTCTGCAGAGAAAATTTAGAGGTAGAAGTAATAAGATATGGTCATTGATGGTTTTGGATGAGGTAAGGTAGCTACCCGGGAGGAGAAGGTGGGTATGAGGGAGGAAAGAATCAAACATGACCTGGTAACTTGGTGAATCTTGGTGTCACTTTCTGAGATACTAAATACAGGAAACCTTTGTAAATATTTAAATGGGTGCATGAATGTATAAATGATTTTAAATATACAAAGGCAGGAGCATTTGATGGTGATGAGGTGGTGATAATAGAAAACACATAGCACTCCAGTCGGTTTTACCTATAAATTTTGCCTTTTTTTTTTTAAAGCATGCTGTATAAAACTTGTGGCCTCCCCCTCCTTTTTCATCGTTTCAACATGCTGGACTCTGATACATACTGCTTTCTCTAGGTTAGGTCAACTATCTTGACCTCCTGGGAAAATCTTCCTTTCTTCATTTCACTTAAGAAGTATATTAGGCCCTGACTGGTTTGGCTCAGCGGTTAGAGCGTCGGCCTGCGGTCCAGAGACTCGGGTTCGGTTCCCGCTAAGGGCACGTACCTCGGTTGCAGTTTGTCCCCGGCCCTGGTTGGGTCGTGTGGGTGGCAGCCATTCGATGTGTCCCTTTCATGTCGATGTTTCTCTCTCTCTCCCTCCCATTCTATCTGAACAAAATACCGAAAAAAAATGTCCTCAGGTGAGGATAAAAAAAAAAAAGAAGTATATTAGTTTCCTTTTATTGCTAGAACAAATATTCATACACTTAGAGGTTTAAAACAACACACATTTATTATCTTACAGTTTGGGAAAACAAAAATCTTAAGTGAGCTAAAAGAGAGATGTTGGTCTGGCTGTGTTGCTTCTGGAAGCAGCAGCAGGGGCCCATTCTTTCTCCAGCTTATAGCTGCACCTGCCTGCACCTCGGTTCCCCTCATCTTCAACGCCAGCAGTGTAGCCACTCAAATTCCTATCGCAGTGTCCTCCCGATTATGATGTGCATATTGTAAAGCTTTTATTTGTAACCATATTTATTTTGATGTTAGTAAAAGAAGCTTTCCAAATTACATTTAATGATTTTTGAGCATTATTTGCCTTGATTTTATCTCTTTAATTTGATAAGTTAAATGAACTATAATTATGTTTCATCAGATTATTAATCTAACAACTAGCATTTGTTAAGTGCTAGCTATGTGTCAGGTCCTTTATTTGTATCATCTCATTTAATCATTACAACAGCCACACGAGGGAGGAGGTGGTATCCCATTTTACAGATGGGAACACTGAGGCTCAGAGAAGTTAACTATCCCCAGGTCGTATGGCGAATATTTGCTAAAGCTGGAATTCATACCATTATGTTTCTGCTACTTTCTACTACTGCAGTGGTGTCTTTGTGGTGAGTTATTTCTCCCAATTATGATGTGCACATAAAATATATATGGTATATTGTTGGTATGGATATAACATTTCTATTTTCTCTAATAGGCAGCTAGGAAATATTGAACTGAAAAATTTAAAGCTGAAGAAGTATTCCTTTTTTTGAACAAATGAGGGAGGATGTCTTTTTCAATTATTTTTTCTAAATGAAGCATTAAAAAATGATGTTTTTTGACGTTAGAAAGGCATATAGTAACACCTGTGTTCTCACCACTTACCTGAAATAAAATCTTACCAGTACTTTTGAAAGACCTCTGTGCATTCCTCCCCACTCTCATCTTCCTCCCTCTGCTCAGTGGTAAACACTGTCCCAGCGTTGGCATTTATCATACCCTGGCAGCTTAGGTATCTTGGCAGTAATCTGGCGGCTGCGTGCTGAATGAAGGGTTGGAGTGGTGTTAATGCTGTTATTTTTCTGAGGAAACTTATCTTATGTCTGCTTATTTTGCCATTCTTTTCTAAATTGGCACCCAGTTTGTACCAGGGCTGAGTCATGCCACCTCGTGCTCTCCCCGCCATATCTTATAATGTGGGCGAGAAATACAGATGCACTCAGTTTCAGAGCCTACGGCTATGGGACAAAAGGTCAGCTCAACAGGTTGCCATTTCCTTCCGTCACGACCTGAAGTCAAATTGGTATGAAGAGCCTCCCATCGATAATCGTGAAGACCTCATGACTGGAACTTTAAGATGAGTGGGCTAGGCCCAAATCCAGTGGAAGTTTCAGGTGGATGAGCACAGTCTGCGTTTCCGACGTTTCCCCAGGTTTAAACATCGAGTGCAGCAGTCCTCACTCCGTTGCTGTGGGGCTCCTGGTCTGGTGGAAGAGTGCCGGCAGGGTCAGGGTAGTGTGGACTCGGTCACGGGAGACCCCCAAAGCTAAGGGGAAAGACTTCCTCAGGTGGGCAAACGCCGGAAGGAGGTTTCTCCAAAAAAACAGAAACAAAGTCAATAAGTTGCTGATTAAGATGCTTCAAAAGTGAAATGTTTCTGTCTCAGCATGGTTGGTTTATGGGGGAAGTAGAGACCCAGCCTTCAGGGGAGATAGGAAAGAAGAGTACAGGTGATACAATGAGTGAGCAGCAATCAAGAGTCGTGACTGTGGTACCGATTGAGGCCTGGGGCTGACTATGGAAAAGGTGCTACTCTCGGGATTAAATGCCTGAGACACAAAAGTGGTTTATAAAGAGAATAGCGAGTGCCTGGAGAATATCAACAGCTGGCTCTTAATATCTGGGCACAATGAGTACTCATTAATTGATGATTCACTTTTATAAACAATCTCCAGTTTATACAAATTTTCTGGTAAAAGCAGATATTGGTGTACATGATAGTTTTCATTTATGAAGGTATGTTATCACTTGCCTGAGTATTTATCTGAGTATATTGTTAAAGAATTTCTTTTTAAAGGTAATCCAGATGGTTCTCTTACTGTCATCATGAAAGTTATTTCATTCTACAAGAGCATGATTCAAAAAACGTTCTGCTGAAGTTTAAGTGACTGGAGGTCGTGCACAAATTCTTCATCTCTTTCACAAAACCAAATTTTGGAATTGTCTATTAAAAAAATGCAACTCCTAAACATTCTTGTGATAGCTTCTTTGTGAAAGTGTCGCTGTTCTTGATTTGCACATGCCCTGCGATTTAGGCCGTCTTTTGTTTAGGGTTGGCAGTTCCAACTGTCAAAGCTCTGGTCTGATTGTGTGGGACTCCTTATTTTAATGGGAGAAGCTTCTTTGCTGCATTTTTAAAAAATGGTCTCGGAAGCTTCTTACTGTGGATCTTTGTTGGGGACAAAGGATTATTTATGCTAAAGGAAAATGTATTCCCCGCTGACTTGGCTCGTGGGAAGCATAACAAGCTTATTAGTAATGCGCAGTTGTGCTTTGCCCTTTTGCTATGGTAGAGAGAGGAAAAATGACATCAAAAAGGACATTCTGCTACCCTTTGCCTTCCCGCAAAGAAAATATGATGCAATATTAGACTTTTTAGTTAGGTTTAGCTCAAGTTCAACTTCTTCCAGAAGAAATGTTCTTGAAAGGAAGGTGGTATGGTAATTGGCACTGTGCATGAGGTATGTCTGATGTAACTTAGACGAGAAAATGACTTTTCCTTGGAAATAGATAGCATTAGAGCCTTATAAACTGTTTTAGATTTTTTTCTTAGACTCTCTTACTATAAGCAATAAAAAATCCTAGGTTTTATATAGTCTAATTATTCTGAGTGTTTTTAAACTCCTCACTTTTTTTTTCTCTGAAAATACATTAAATAATTGTATTATTAACCTAACTTAATTAAAGTTGTGGTTTCCTTGAACATTTCAAGAAAAGTATTCTGTAGCTCAATTATGCTGTTCCTTTTCTTTTTGGTCTTGAGCACCTCACAGAGGAAATATGAAGTTATTATAGAAAGGCATTGAGTATTGTTTCATAGTTAAAATTGGTGCTTACATCTGTTACCTTGTCATCTGGCAAAAAAAGAAACTCATGGTTAAGCTTGAGAATTTATATGAAGCCTAGATGAACTTTTATGAGCTCCATGTGAAGGTCAGATGGGGGACACTTGACTTTTAGTCTCAGTTGTTGTGATGTATGTATTTACATTATGTTTACAGGGGAAGATTCTGGGAGACTTTTGTATGGTTCAGTTTTATTGTTAATTTTAGTTTACTAGCCCGAAGCTTCAAGAATTACTTCGAAGCCAGATGTTTCAATAATGTTCTTGCTTGCAGTCATATAGTTAGTGAGAGCGCCCACCACACCGAATTTTCTGTTTTGGTAGATTACTAAATAAGAGAGAGAGAGAGAGAGAGAGAGAGAGAGAGAGAGAGAATGAACACACTGTAGGACTCTTGAGCTACATCACCCCTATTCCTTCTCTTGCATCTTTTCTCTGTCCTGGGTGGGTGGGGGGTCACTTTGATGCTAGTACCAGAAACTAGTTATTAATTGAGTTTCGGATTTTTCTGTTTCAAATGAAGAGTGCCTTTATGAAGTGAGAAGCTAGGAGTGATTATTGGCCTCAGAGTCAAATGGTTCCAGTTAGAAGGAAAAGTTGTAGGTCCTCAGTCAAAGCGAGGAAAGCAGATTGCTCGTCATCTGAGGGTTGGGGGAGTAGGAAAGCTGCCCTCGTCTGCATAGTAATCTTTTGTTCTATTTTCAGAAAAGCAATTTCAGTTCAATATTAATGACCATGCAGCCTGCAATTCAAGTAAGTGTTTTTCTTGGAAAAATATTTTTTATGAGATTAATATAATAACATTATAATTATTAGTAAAATACTAAAATTATTTAAATGTTTTTATTGTACTAGTTTTTTTAAGCATCAATGTTAATAACAGGAATACTATATTTCGACTTTCTAGTTCTGAAAGGATTTTAATTCTAGGCTTATACTGAATATTTGTAAGAATCAAAACTACCTTAGGGTTGGTGGGTCCTTCTTATTTATACTATTCTGGGAAAAGAATTGGAATCTTTTGTAATATTTCTATCATTACAATGTGGTATATATTTGTAGTTAAAAAGCTTTCAATGAAAACAAATACACCTTTTTAAAATTTTAGATGATTGTACGTGTCTTATAATGCCTGTATATAAACAATTATTAAAATTTAAAGAGTTTTTTTGTGTGTGTGGGTTTGTTATTATTTTTTTAAATCCTCACCCGAGGATTTATTTTTTCCCATTTATCTTCAGATAGAGAGGGAGGGAGGGAGAGAGAGAGAGAGAGAGACAGACAGACAGACAGACATTGATGTGAGAGAGACATTGAGCAATTGCCTCCCACATGACCCCCGACCAGGGCCGGGACGAACCACAACTGAGGTAAGTGCCCTTGACTGGAATCGAACCTGAGACTCTGGTCTGCAGGCCTACGCTTTAACCACTGAGCCAAACTGGCCAAGGCGATGGGTTTGTTGTTTGTTATTTTTTATTTACTTATTTTTTGTATGAGTGGAAGCAAGATGAGGACAATGAAACCAGAATGATCTTATATTTGAATGATTTCCAGAGTTGGTACAGTATTTGCTATATTGTTCTGATATCCTTTTAAGTTTTTTTTTTTTTTCTTTTGCTGTGAATAGAACATGAATGACTATTCATAAAGACAAAAATCACATTGAAGGTCTACCTAGAAAGATGCAAGCAGCTGATAATAAAATTTGCTTGGAAAGTGAGAACTTTAGAGTCAATCAGATTCCATTTCCCATCCTAGTTCTGCAAGTGTGTTGGTGAGACACTTCTCTGAATGTGAGCTTCCCTTCCTCTAACGCGAGGGGACACTGATCTAGAAGGGCAGCGGTGAGGAATCAGTGAGATAACACACGCAAAGTGCCTACAAGAATGTGTGTTGCATTGTAGGCACTTCAGAAGATTGGTTGTATCATTTATGCAACACAGTCATCAAGATGTAAAACTGGAGGTTATACCTGTGTCATGCAATCCTTTCCTTCCTTTAAAAAAAAAATTAATTAAGAAAGGAGGCTTATCAAGCTGACAGTGGGCTATACCTAGAGAAGAGAATTTATCGAATGGTAGAGAACGACTCTGAATGTGGTCCTGCTTGTGCTCCCTCCGGTGCGGTGCAGCTGTATCCTCCTCCGCGAATACGCGGTTCTGCCCCTGTGTCCTCCTCTGGGGGTTTGTACGCCCATAGCAGTCTCCCGGAGGTCTTATTCTTCCCCCCTGAGGCTTCTCAAATCATATTGAATATGCTCAGAACTTCTTTATTACTCAGAACCATTTCTTGTCTGATTATTCTTTGTGTTCTCTTTTTATCCAAGTCTCAGAAATGTCATCAGGTTCACATTGATTATATGATATGTATTTTTGATTCCTATAGTGTGCTTTTTATCCTCGCCACATTGACCATGTTTTTCTCACTTCTGCACTAATGGCCATCAATATTTTCTTAACTTTGTGAATACTTTCTTAGTTCTGTCTTATAGTTCTACGAAGCCTCCTCTCATCCAGGTCCCACAGATCCATCTCTGTTGATTCTTCTCTGAGAACATCCTTGACATCTCTCATGGAAGCTTTTGCTTCTGTACCTGACGAATGTGAGACATTTCCAGGATTTTAACCCCTTTCTCTGCTAACTATGTTAGTTATTTAGTTATTCATAAGTGCCTTACAGAGCGGAGACATCAGTAAATAGCTATTATCAATTGGTTTCTTATTAATATAATACATTAAGATCTTACTTGCCTTTTTTGTCTTTAATTTTGACTAGTATATAAACATACAGTCTAACAACCAATGAACGACAGTTCCTGATCTCTTTTGGGTCAGAGTCCTCTTTTGAGAAGCTGAGAAAAGCTATGAACTCTGTTAGTGAAAAGGCTGTTGGTACATAGGCAGACAATTTTGCCTAAATGTAAAGTAAGCAAGTTTATGTGCCTACTCAGGTTCATCTCTAGACTGCCTGTGAATTAAGAATCTCTGCAATGTGACAGCTTTCTGCATGTTTGAGAACAAACTTTATACATGAAGTTTTTATTAACATCTAGCTTTTAACAACATTAATATACTGCTGACTAGCCCAGGTTATTAGAGAATCTTCTGCTTGCAATAATAGGAAAATTGAAATACTCTTCTTCATGTGGGAAGAAAGTAGAATGACCTTTGTCAATGTCAGCTTCTTTATTTTCACACATGATTTTTCAAAACCACCCTCCTAACTAATGCACATCTTGCCTCGACAAACATTCGCATCTGTTCTGCCTGTTTTCAACTCAGCCACATGGTTAAAGGACAAAGAACATATTTCACTAACCGTAAGAACATATTTCACTGACTGTAAGATACTACTAACTGTAAGATGCATCTGCATTTGGATATCTGTCATTTGCTGATTCCTATTTCCTTAGTTATACCAAAAATATTTTTGACTGAAGACCATGTGCTAGGTATTAATACTGAGTTCTGGGATGGCAAACAGAATTAAGACATGCTTATGAAGGGCAAATTTAGAGAGTAAATCTTTGCTGTACTACTTCTGAAATAATTTTAAGAGAATTCTGGTAAATAAATAACATCTTGTGTTTTTCCTAAAACTTTATAGGATCCACAGACATTTAGGAGTTCATTTCCTGAGCCCTACCCTCAATTCCTGAAATAATATCCCTCAAATGACTTATGTTTCTCTTATTCTTTGGGTATTTTTCTTGAGTTTTGCTACTCCTGCTTGCTTCTTATGGTATATGTTCCTATTCTTTCTTTGCTCTTGGGATTTTTTTTCTCCTGAAGCATGTTTGTTTCTCATCATGGGAGATTAGAAACAGTTGCTGTTGTTGTTTTCTCCATAATTTGTCTGGATTAACTATGGTGTTGCTATGGCTTTTGATTTGGTGTAGTAAGACTTGCCTCAGATAAACCTCAGTAAGTTTAATATATTTTAGGGAGAAAATTAACTATATGTATAAATCTAGAAAGGATATTGGTATTACTTGCACTTATACTTACAAAAATTATTTTTGAACAATGACAAGCCTACCAAGGAATTGTTAAGTATAGCTCAGAGATATTTGTTTGAACTATTTCAGAATGAATTGCCAAAACAATGCCCCATCACTTCCAAATGTGTCATTGTTTATTTCTCATAAACAAGGACATCCTCCTATGCAACCACAATGCAATAGTGAGAATCGGGATATTAACACTGGTACAGTATTGCCATCTGATACTCTGACCACAGTCAGATATCGCCAGTTGTCCCGATAATGTTGAGTCCGGAATCCTGGGTTTCACTGAGTTGTCATGTCTCTTTCATCTCGCTCAGTCCGAAACAGGCTCTCCTCAGCCTTTGCTTGCCTTTAATGACCTTGACCCCTTTTTGAATATTGACCATCAGTTATTTTGTAGAGTGTCCCTCATTTGGGGTTTGCTTGATGTTTTCTCATGCTTAAATTCAGGTTATGTGTCTTTGGCAGGAATATCGCAGAGGGCTGCTGTGTTTTCTCACCGCATCCAAACAGGTGGCACATGATTTTGGTTTGTGCCATTATTGATGGTGTTCACTGTTGTCACTTGATTAAGATGCCATCTGTCAGGTTTCTCTACTGTAAAATTACTCTTTTCCCCCCTTTGTAATAAGTATTTTAGGGGGAAGCACTTTGAAACTATATAAAAGTCACATTCCTCCTTAAAATTCTAGTTTATTCATTTATATCTTTACGGACTTGTAGTTGTTTATTTTATTTAATGTGTTATAATCCATTTTTATCGTTATTCTTGTATGTAATTGCTACTGATGTAGGCAGTAGAAGCTGTTACGGCTGTGTCCGTGTCCTTTGGGCATGTCCTCGTCAGACTTCGAGCACCTCTTTGCTCCTGGTAAAGGAAGCTCCATTCCAACACCACAGCATTCATTCAGTTTTCTCCCATTTCCCATTTGCACCTTTCTTCTTTGGCAGTGAGAACCTGGCTCCCTGTGATAAAGCCCATGTGTGGGACCAGTCTCCCATTGCTGGTGCCACCCCTGCCCGAGATGATGCCCTTCGGCTCTTTGAGCATTGACACCCTGCACTGGGACCTCCCCCTTTCGTCCCCTCCTTATATCCTGACAAGTGCACAGGGCTGTCCCCATGGTGGACTCCCTCTCACTTCATCCAAACTCTGACTTTTCATTTCAGGCTACCCCCGGAAAGCATCCCCTCCCCCCCAGTCATTTCACTTGGGCTCTCTACCGCTTTCTGCATTGGATTTTGATAGTCTTTTCTCTAAATAATCTTATATTAAAGCTTTGGTAAAACTTCAAAATCTTGCAAGTGGTGGTTTGATGGTATGTTTATGTCAATTTTTATTCTAAACTACAGGGATTGGCCACGTAGTAAATATTTTTGGCTTTGCAAGTCACTAGGCAACATTGAGGCAATTATGTAGCTACTTATATAATAAGCCATTTTAAAATGTAAAAACCATACTTAGCTTATGGGCCCTGCAAAATCAGATGACAGATTAGATTCTTTAGAATATATTTTTGGATAATATTCTTATTATGATTTAAAGTTTAAAATGTCACTTTGCATTCATTCAATCAGTTATCCATTATTTAACAAATAAAGGATATTATTTAACAAATAATGGATATACTAGGTCTAGTGCTAGATGTATCTTGTAAGGCAGTGTTCATTAACTTATTTTACAGCCTAGATGTTGAGACTGATCAAGTATCTTGTAAAACTTACTTATCTAACAAGTAAAAGGATAACTTTCTAATTTTTATCCTCTTGGCTTGATAGTAGACTTCATTTCTTAATTGGGGGTTCACTTACATTTATCACAGTATTGACTATTGAAAAATGCCTCAAGTATCTTGGCTAATAGTTTGCTTCTAGTTTATATACTTTTTTGTACGCTGCTGCAGTTTTGTAAATGTTATATATGGTTCGTAATTCATCACTTAAATGTAAACGTGCTGACTTAACCAGGTCACATCCACTCATTTGGTTGGTGTTTTCTCAGGTGTGGTTTGGCGAAGACCTGCCTCTAAGTCCACGGAGTCCTCTGACCCCCAGGCACGGGCCGGGTTTGGCCGACGTGTATCAGTATGACGAGTGGATAGCTGTGAGGCACAAAGCCAGTCTGTTTCCCATGCAAGAAGATCTGTCAATCTGGTTATCTGGTTTATTAGGTAAGTCTTGAAAAGACACTCAGAATCGTATTCTCTTTTTTCAGTCAATATTTATTGAGAACCTTATTTTTGTCAAGGAGTGCTTGTTCTAGAGGCTGGGGATATTCTAGTGAATGAAATCTTTAATGATTTCATTAAATCATTAAATGAATGATTTGAAGAAGCTTTGAATAATCAACATTTTCACTGTTAATGTTAAAAATATATGCCTGTGTGTGTGTGTGTGTGTGTGTGTGTGTGTGTATATATATATATATATATATATATATATATTTATTTAAGTACATAGGTCTAATTTTGGGATCACTATTTTACTACTCCACCTCCCAACCTTGCATAAGGCGTGAGATTCTGAGTGGCATTCATACTACAGATAACATGGTGATTCTGTCTCAGGCATTCAGAGGTAGAGGCATAAAACCTAGGAGGAAATGTCAGGTTGGAGAATGTCCAGCATTATCTTGCTTCACCCAGTTAAACAATATGATAAGTGCTCTGTGCTTTCTCTGCAGAAAAAATCTCCTTTTATTATTATTATTATTATCATTATTATTTAATCCTCACCCAAGGACATTTTTGCATTTTTACCTTGAAATAGAGTGGGAGGGAGAGAGAGAGGAAGAGAGAGAGGAAGAGAGAGAGACACATCGAGTGGTCGCCACCCACACGACCTCATCTGGGGCCTTAGCAGGAACCGAACCTGGGCCTTTCTGGTCTGTGGGCTGACACACTAACCGTTGAGCCAAACCGGCCAGGGCAAAAAAATCCCCTTTTAATATAGAATTTCATGTAGCATTGCAAGGTTTTTTGTGAAAAGGAATACAAGAAGCTCATCTAGGGCCTTCCCAAGATAATTAAAACACAGCAAACACTCACTTTAGATACTAGTATCAGTTTGATTTAGAAATTTTTTTTTAAGTTTATTGTGTAATAAAGCTTTTAAAGAAGATATTTTAGAGGTGAAAAGTTAGTATTACTGGGTGTTATGTTACTGTCTTTAATTTTAAACTTATAACAAAGTCCATCTTATTTACAGGGATTTTTCTTTTTCTTCTGTAAGTAGTAATGTGCAGTGAATCAAAACTTAACCTTAATAGTGAATATTGAAATATAAAACACTTTGGTCTTTTTAAAATGAAATAAAAGACATGTCAGTTTTCTTTACTTTTTTCCCTATACTTCTACATTACAGACATTTTTGTTTCCATTGTCATTTTTTAATTTGACATTCTCTGCTGTTTTAACTCTACCTTCTAAGAGTGAATAATTGTAGTCTGATCTAATATTCATCTAGTATTTCAGCCCTAATCTAATTATATTTACTTAAAATTTAATCATATTGTTTGCACTCACTGTTTCTAGAAGAATCTTAACTTTGAAATATGTTCTTAGGTATTGAAGTTAAGGCGGAGAGACTGCTGGAAGAACTGGATAATGGAGTACTGTTATGCCAACTGATTGATGTTCTTCAGAACATGGTGAAAGCCTGCAGCTCTGAAGAGCCAGGGGTAAGGAGATGTTTGACAGCAGTGATTCTATACCTTGGTGCATGCTCATTTGTTTATGTACATTTCTTATTATCTCTGCACGATTGTAAACTTCCCATACCAAGTATCCATAATATGGATAATTTACTTAATCTTTTTGCGAATCTAGAAGAATTTTCTTACTTGTAAAGTGGAGGTATTAACATTTTCCTTGTAGCACTTATTAGTAAGGATTCGGCGAAATTAAGTGAGATAATCTATAGATGGTGTTGATATTGGTGCCTAGCGGCCAGTAGATAGCCAGTAGCTGGCTCTTCGTGAGCACAATGACGTAGGGTGGTTGAGAGTCAACTGAGAAGAGAGTGAGTGATGGTTCCGGGTACACAGTTAGGAGCTACCAGCATCGTCATCGCCTTTATTCTTCATATATTGTCTTGGTGAGTGAATTCTATAAATATTGGTGGAATGGATAATAATATTTTAGCCAGTTTTTCTCTGTAGACCCTCAAGGTATGATTTGACGTAGATAAGGTTTCTGTCTTTTCATCAAGCATGGGTGTTTTCGGGATCTGAACACTCACACAGTGTTGGTGAAGTATAAAGTGATGTCATCTTTCTGGGGGACAGTGGGTGATGTATATCACACTGACAACAGAGCACATCCTAAAAAACATGAATGGATTAGGAAGTGCAAATTGGTAGTTACAAAAGGGGACATAAAGTACAGCATAGGGAATAGAGTCAATAATATTGTAATAACTATGTACGGTGCCAGGTGGGTACTGGAATAGTGTGTTTATCTAACATTCTGTAGGTACAGATGTCTAACAAGTGTATATTTGTGCCAGGAGATGTCTTGCTAAAATGTAGACGAGAACATTTCAGTTGAGACTAAGCATCTTTGTATTTGGCTGTATTATTTTATTTTTTGGCAATAATCATGTGTTCTGTATATATTAGAAAAACTCACAAGGCTATTTTAATTCTGGAAAATAATAGCAACAGGAAGGATATATCAGGAACTGGTAACAGTGTTTATCTCTAGTGAGAGAGAGGAACTGAGGGTAGAGGTGGGAGAGAGACTTACGTTGTGTCTACTATGTCTATTGCATTTTTAAAAATCATATGCATGAATTGCTTATTCAAGTAAAAATTTAAACTGAAGTAAAACTAAAAACATCTCAACCTCAGCAGGATTATCTAAATACTTTTGGTTCTGATAGTCAGAAAATTAGGATTCTGCAAAACTTAGATCATCAGTTTTCAAAGAGTTTGAATTAAGAATGGGTTACTACTTCCTTATTTGCTAGTCTCCTCAGGAAACTCAGAACCATATTTATGAATCTGCAAATAAGGAAGTAAGCAGACAGGGGGGTGTCTATTAATCTTTAATGGGGCAGCACTTTTGTGTTTGTGTCAAACTGTGTATGGATAGACATACTACAGAGGTTACTTTGGAATCACTAGACTGTCATTTTTAAATTTAAATTTAATTTATTTTAAATTTAAAAGATTATTTTGTCATTTCAAAAAGGAAGAGGTTAGAAATGCTTGATTCTACTGCTAATTGTGACCAGATTGTTTCTGAACTGTACTAAAGGAGAATAAAATAATTTTGAAGATACCAGTTCCCTCCCATGTTGTATACTTTTTACTTACATCCAATGCACTGGACATGTCTTCAGTGATATTAAAATGGAGATCTAATGAAAATATCCTTGATGCATTTTTGAAATTATTCTTTTGTCTTTTCCAGAATTTTCCAATGAGAAAAGTGCCCTGTAAGAAAGATGCTGCCTCAGGCTCATTCTTTGCCAGAGACAACACTGCGAACTTCCTGCACTGGTGCAGGTGCGTCGGGGTGGACGAGACTTACCTCTTTGAGTCTGAAGGGTTAGGTAAGTGTCGTCATTGCTGTGTTCAGTGTTTATTAGGACAGTTTTGTATACCTCGTTCCTAATTTTTCTTTCCAAATAAGGACTCAAATGCCACATCTCATTTTCCGAGAAAAATGTGTACTTTAAATATATGTGAAACAATTAGAGAAACTGATTCTAAGTCAGATAATATTAAGCTTTTCATTTGTAATGAAAGATCTTCATAGATCTAGAATGCCCTAGAAATATTTTACTTCCTAAATGAGTTCGCTATTTCTGGAGGAATGCTTTACTAATTAATGTTTTCATCAAGAATTACTCTTCCAAGTCTGAATGACTAGTAATTCCCCTTTAACTAGGTAATTGTGGAAATAACAGAAGGCTAAGTGGTGCATGTTCATGCTTTTAGATTTACCTTGTAAACAGCAGCTGCCAAATTGATTATCTAAATGGATTAATGCTTTTGACAATTCATTTGAAAAAGTCATGCTCTACTGCAGAATTATTGACATACTCTGTGCAGTAACTAAAGTGGAAGCTATCTAAGTTTTAGACTCTCTATATATTTTCTCAAAGCATTTATATGTGCATATACACATTTATCTCTGTGTGTGTTTGTGTGTGTGTGTGTGTGTGTGTGTGTGTGTACAGAATTTATAATGTTTTGATAGGAGCATTCCAAGGGCGGGGTCATGGGAGTAGTAGTCTGCCCTAGTGTTTTATCACTAGCATTGTTTAGAATTGCTGGTTCATGGTGATAATAAAAAGCAAACTGACTTTTAGTTGGTTTTATTATTGTTTTAAGATTCTCCACTGACGTGGCACACCCTTGCTGCCTGCACGGGTGGGCTGCTCCCGCATGGCTACCTGTTCAGTAAGCCTTTGGATGTTCCCATGCATCAAAGAATAAGAAGCAAATGGAATTGGTTGATGTTTTACCCCCAGTTTGCACCCTGCTTCAATCTGGGCATGCTGATTATTATTGACAGTGTGGCTGATTTAATGGCATATAAAGCTTCCAGAGACCAAGGGGAGAGAACGTGCTTTGAATTCTCTGGTTTCCAGTTCATTATTTCTAGAAGGATATAAGACTGTTGTATATCTCTCGTTCTCAGTAGAAGGCATATTCACACTGTCCTGACAGTTGGTATAAAACTAAATAAAGCACTGCCAATAATTAATTCATTTCTAGACATTGAGCTGATGAGCTAATGTTTTCACTTTCTAAAGGTCTCAGAGATAGATGAGCCTCTTCATTTTTTACATTTTGCTAGGAACTCAAAGCAATTAACAAAAGAAATACACCATTTAAAGGCACATCTAAGTGTTTAGAGAAACAAGTTTAATAAAAATTTCAGTATAATTTCCTTTCGGTATGAATTTTTAAGTCAAACATAGGCCTTTTTATTGCTTTGTACTTGGGGTATATAATAGATGCTATTCATAAATCAAAGAACAACTGTCATTTGCATTCAGGGAGTCAGTATATATGCAATTTATCACACATAACCATTATTCTATTAGGGTTCAGGAATTTCCCAGAGCTTTTAACTCTAAGGACAGGAAAAGAAAGTTAGATAATCCCCAATTATCAAATTGGTGCATTTGGCACAAGTTCTAATGATCAGGTGTTTTGTTTTGTTTTGTTTTGTTTTACTTTTTTAAAAGATCTCTGTTTTAACTGTTAGGCTTAGCATTTGGGTTCCTTTTTAATTAAAAAAATTTTTTAATTGTGATAAAATGTACAGAGCAAAATGTGCTATCACAACCATTTTTAAACATATATGAGGCTTCTTTTCTATAGCGTTAAAAAAAATCAAGATATACTTCATGTAACATAAGATGTATCACTTCATAATGTACCCATCAGTGGTTTTTATTTTAATTAATTTATTTACTTTAAAACATTTTTTTTTCTTTATTGATTTTTTTAGAGAGAGAGGAAGGGAGAGGAAGAGAGAGAGAGAAACATCAATGAGAGAGAACATCGACTGGCTGCCTCCTGCATGCCCCCCACTGGGGATCAGCCCCACAACCTGGGCATGTGTCCTGACTGGGAATCGAATTGGCGACCTCTTGGTGCGTGGGTCGATGCTCAACCACTGAGCCACGCTGGCCAGGCCCCTCAGTGGTTTTTAATATGTTCACTATATCATGCAACCATCACCACTAATTAATCCCAGAACATTTTCATCATTCTCAAAAGAAAACTCATACCTATTAGCAGTTAGGCCCAATTATGTACTCCCTGTCTTCATCCTCTGGCAACCAGTAATCTATCAATTTTTTTCTCTGTGGATTTGCATGTTCTAGACATTTCATATACCCAGAATCATACAATATGTGGCCTTTTGTGTCTGGCTTCTTTAATTAGCATAATTGTTTATGTTGTAACATGTAATAGTACTTATTATGACTGAATGATATTCCATTGTATGGATAGATCTCATTTTTAAAATTCATTATCAGCTACCGGACATTTTGGTTATTTCTACAATTTGGTTAGTATGATATGCTGCTATGAACATTTGTGTACAAGATTTGGGTAAACATTTGTTTTAAATTCCCTCAGGGACATACCTAGGAGTGGTATTGCTGGGTCATATGGTAACTCTGTTTATCTTTTTAAGGAACCACCAAATTGTTCACAGTGGCCATACCATTTTGTATTCCCACTAGCAATGTACAGGGGTTCCAATTCCTTAACCTGTTCTCCAGTACTCGTTCTTTTTCTTTCTTCCTCCTCCTCCCCTCTATTTTTTCTTCTTATTATATTACCATCCTGGTGGGTGTGAAGTGGTATCTCATTGTGGTCTTGATTTGCATTTCCCTAATGGCTAATGATATTGAGCATCTTTTAATAGGCTTATTGCCATTTGTATAGTCTCTTTGGAGAAACGTCTATTCACATCTTTTGCTCATTTCTGGGGGTCATTTGTCTTGTTTTATTGACTTGTAAGAGTTCTTTATTTTTTGTGGATACTAGGCTCTTATCAGATATGTGATTTGCAATTTTCTTCCAGTCTTTGGGTTGTCTTTTAACTTTCTTGATAGTGTCCTTTGATGTATAAGTTTTTGATTTTGATGTTTGATTTATCTTTTCTTTGATTGTTGGTGTTTTTGATGCCATATCTAAAAAACCATTGCCTAATCTAAGGTCACACAGATTTTCACCTATGTCTCCTTCAAAGTGTTTTATAGTTTTAGCTCTTACATGTAGGTCTTTGATCCATTTTGAGCTATTTTTTTGTATATGGTAGGAAATAGGGGTCTAAATCCATCTTTTGCATGTAGATATCCAGCTTTCCCAGTACCATTTGTTGCAAAAACCGTTTTTCCCCTGTTGAGTGGTCTTGGCACCCTTGTTGAAAATCATTTGAACATAAACACATGGGTTTATTTCTGGATGCTCAATTCCATGCCATTGGTCTATATGTCTATTTTTATGTCAGTAACACACCGTCTTGATTAGTGTAGCTTTGTAGTAAGTCTTGAAATTAAGTGTGAGTCTTCCAACTTTGTTCTTTTTCAAGATTGTTTTGGCTAGTCCATGTCTCTTGCAATCCTATATGAATTTTGTTATCAGCTTGTTCACTTCTGGAAGAAAGGGGTGTTGGAATTGATAGGGATTGTATTAGGTCTATAGGTCAGTTTGGAGGGTGCTGTCATCTTAACAATATCATGTCTTCCAATCCGTGAACACAGGATATCTTTCTCTTTTGTTTATATCTTTTTAAATTTATTTTTACAATGGTTTGTAGTTTTCAGTGTATAAGTCCTACACTACTTTGGTTAAATTTATTCTTAAGTACTTTATTCTTTGTGAAACTATTGTAAATGGGATTGATTTCTTAATTGTATTTTCAGATGATCTCTTAATACATTAAAAGTGCAGTAATTTTTGTATATTGATCTGGTAACCTGCAACTTTGCTGAACTTGCTTGATAGCTTTAATCTTTTTTTTTTTTTTTTTTTTTTTTTTACATTATTTAAGGTTTTTCAAACTAAGGGCCATGCAATCAGTGAATAGCGATCATTTTCCTTCTTTCTCAATCCGGATGCCTTTTACTTATCTTTCTTGTCTAATTCACTGGCTAGAACCCCCAGTACAGTGTTGAACAGAAATGGTGAGAGTGGGCATTCTCGTCTTTCCCTGATCTTAGGAGGAAGACTTTCCCTTCCAGTCTTTCACCATTAGTGATATTAGCTGTGGGTTTTTTTTATATATGTCCATTTTTATATTTATAAAGTTCCCATCTATTCCCAGTTTGTTCAATGTTTCATTACAAAAGGGTCTTTGATTTTGTCAAATGCTTTTTCTGTGTTTGCTGAGATAATTGTGTTTCTTTTCCTTTATTCTATTAATATGCTCTATAGTATTGATTGATTTTCATATGTTGAACCAATCTTGCATTTAGGGATAAATCTCACTTGCTTCTGGATTCAGTTTCTCAGTATTGCATTGAGGGTTTTTATATCTATACTCATAGAGAATATTGGTCTTTACTTTTCTTGTGACGTGTTGTTTGGTGTTGGTGTCAGGGTAATGTTGGCCTCATAGAATGAGTTATGAAGTACTCCCTTCTTGCTTCATTTTTGGAAGAGTTTAAGAAGACTGTTGACACATAGTCCTATGCTAAAGTAATTTAGAATAAAATTGAGGTGATATATCTTTTCAAATAGTATCTCCTGTTGAGAGGTCTGAATTATAAATAACTTAATGTTCCTAAGCCCTTAGTTTTTTTAAGAATGAAAATGCTATACAAATAAGGGTGCATGATAAGTTTTTATCCTCGTTAGTTGTTTTAAAAACAATATGGAAGATGATACTATGTGGAGAAAACAAAGATGTCTGTCTAAGTCTCCAAACAAGTAATGTCCTCATCATTCTTCCATGCCAGAAATACATTTCTTTATTTAATTTTGCCCCTTAAAATATGTGTGTTTTCCTCTCTCACAGTTTTGCACAGAGATCCAAGACAGGTGTATCTTTGTCTTCTTGAAATTGGTCGAATTGTGTCAAGGTAAGTATTCTGCAATATTTCAGAATTTCAATGTCATAAATATTTCTAAGCTACTTTATTTTAACTAGAACACTATTTTCTATAAGTAAAAGAAAATAATTTTTATTGAAATAAAGTCACCTAATTTTTTATGTTTTCTTTCTGTTTCTTTGTTAGCTTTGTTCTCTTTGCATGAGCTGTGTCATGTGTCAACATCTCCTTGCTCATATAACTTGCTTTCATTGAATGTTAAACTGTCACAGTGGTTACGTAACATTTGTAGATTAAGAATGAAATAAGACCATGCTGTCTTGTAGCAGTTCAAGGTGAGCAATCCTCCAGACACAAAGAGGAACCTATAGAAGGCTGAACCCCTGCCCTCCCCACCTAGCTCAGCCTATCTTTATCCACAGGCTGACTTTTAAGGTGTCTTTCAAAATCCTTGGTTGAATATTGAGAGCATCCAGTAACCCAAATATATGCTCTGGTGTGACGTTTATAATCTGAATTTTTGGCAATCTGTGGGACATTAAAAAACATTTCCAGATATACCAGTCAAACATTTGGTTGAAAAATCATACAGACTTCATTTAAAAATAAAATATAACCAACTGGGATATGCAAGGAAGTGCTTGGTTAAGACTTGGCTTGAATAATGAAATCTCCTAACTGTTTTTCAGATATGGGGTTGAGCCACCAGTATTAGTAAAACTTGAGAAAGAAATTGAGCTAGAAGAGACCTTACTTAATACTTCTGGGACTGAAGATTCTCTCAGCATCCCCAAGTCGTGCTGTCAGCATGAGGAGCTGCACGAAGCCGTAAGTAATTGCCTCACTTTCGACCGTGACGCGTTGGTCTCCAAGTTCGCCACTGGTGATGCTATGTCTAAAAGAACATGTTTCTTGTTTAGACCAATCACTAGTACTAATTTACACTCCTGGTGAGTTCCAGGCACTATATGGTAAAGGTGACTTTTTGTTGCTTGTGCATGGTGAGGAGTGGAGTTGAGGAGGGTTGGGGCAAAAAAGCTGGAACCTACCCTGGCTGGTTTGGCTCAGTGGTTAGAGCATCGGCCCGCAGACTTAAGAGTTATGGGTTTGATTCTGATCCAGGGCACATACCTGGGTTGCGGGTTCAATCCCGGCCCCTGTTGGGGTCATGTCTCTCTCACATCAATGTTTGTCTGTCTCTCTCTCTCTTTCCCTCCCACTTGTCTGAAGATAAATGGAAAAATGTCCTCAGGTAAGGATTAAAAATAAAAAAAGTAAAACATAAATCAGCAAAGTCTTTATCAAATTCATTCTGCCTCAACTTATGAAGTAAGTAAATGTCAACACTGTTAGAAAAATGTCTTTTATCCATCAAAAAAGTATCATAATAAATAAATTAAAAAAAAAAAAAAGAAAGTGTTGTCTAGTGTAATAAAAATCTGTGGTAAAACATTTGGGTAACCTTGAAGGACAGATTAAGAAAATGTCAGCCTAAACAACTGGCCAAAATATATTTACATATATAATATTATTGATTTGTATGGTGACTGTGAATATCACAATGTGATGTAGTAATATGCAGTAGGTAAGAATAAAACTTAAAATCTCGTATAACCTAAAATAATGATGATTAAATGAAAAGGAAAACATTTGGAAAACATTTTTTATTAAGTGGGAAATATAATGTGTTAATTTTGCTGTTATATAAAGACCATATACAGTTTGATAAGAATAACATTTATATTTGGTAAATGGGCAAGGGCTGTTGTTCAGACAAGAAGATAGTGTATTGAAGCTTGCTGATAATGAAGGAAATCAGGTATACAGTTTGCCCCATTAGCAAAAATGTTTGAAATTATGAAACCTGGTGCTGGAAAATTCTGGTAACACTGTACTTAGGGATTGCTCTTATTAATGGAAAATGATGTAAACTTGAAAAATAAATTGACAAATGGATATCAAGAGCCACAAAAATGTAACTCTTTCATTTTTATTGTAATTGAAGAGGAGGAAAAGTATGAAAGAAAGTGTATTGCACTAATATGTATAATGGTGAAAAGTTGGAAGCAATGTAAATATGCTCAAATAGAGCAATGGCTCAGCAAGCCAGGATTCATCGTCCTAACAGAGTAATCATTTTATGTGATAATTATGGAGACTATATAGCAACAGAAAAATTTATTTTGTGTAAATTATGTATAGACAAACTATAAGAATGAGGAGAATGGAAATAATTGGTAGTAGGGTAGTGTCTTTGCTTTTTGTTTCTTTAGCTATTTCCTTTAGTGCTATAATGCTAAGCATGCAATAAGTAAAACCAGAAGAGAAATTTCTTATTTGAATATTTTAGACAGAGAGAATAAGTGACTTTCATGTCTGCATCCTTGTCATAAAAACTAAAAAGGGACCCATTTCTCTATATATGTACATTCAATGTGCACCTGCGCATGTGTGATATACAGAGAACTTGGGGTCATGTTTAAACTAAGGAACAATTATTACCTGATTCATTATTTAGAATATTGTTAAGTATACCACTGTAGTTCTGTGTACATGAAACTTTTATGGATAGAAAGTAGCTACTGAAATAAATACCTCTCTTCAAATTGGCTTAGTTAACTAATGTGTATATGGTTCTAATAATAATAAATTCTTTACCCAAGTTTAGTTTATTGTTAGACATTTTATGGATGTGTGTATGAATGTGTTCATGTGTGCACATACACCCAGGCAGTGAACTGGATAAACTTGATCGAATGGCTTATGAAAATCAGTTCTATTTATGGTCATGTTATTTTGTTAAATGAATGATGTAGGCAGATAAATTCAGACCCTTCTGATCAGGCCCTGGTGAACCCACATGTGTTCATTCTTTTTAGATAGATAATTAAGACAGTCATAGATATCTGTTTGTGGTCAGGTAAATTGGGCATATCTTTATTTAACATCATGCATAAGTTCAACTAAATGAACTTGTTTGGATACTCTGTGTGGCAGATAATTGAGAAAAATATGCATGACTTTAAAAAAATTTATAATTTTAGGAAAAAAATATTTTTCATGGTGGCTGATATGTGACTTTTTTTCCTATGAAACATATCTCAATAGCTATTTTCATTTAACTAATTTATTTTAATTTCTATGTTTTAAATATAAAATTCCTGCATTTCTTTTTTATATTTATTATAGTTCTTACCATTTTATAGCTATTTGCTGCAATGAAAAATTCTGTAAGCTTTTTGAGGGATAAAAATAGTGTTTTCTCCCTGACTCTCATCTCCATGGCGAACTATTGAAACAAAGTGAGCACTTTATTTATTTCTGTATTTATTTATTGTTAATCCTCACCAGAGGATATTTTCCCATTGATTTGTAGACAGACTGGAGGGGAGAGGGGGAGAGAGAAACACTGATGTACCCCCACACCGCCCTGTGGAGCTGGGGATCTAACCTCTGACCAGAATTGAACCTCGAACCCTCAGGCCGCAGGCTGAATGGGCCAGGGCCAAAGTGAGCACTTTTAGAAAATGCCTCTTGAGTTGAATTTTTAGAATTTTACCCAATTTTGGGTGAATAGATATAAATGTCTCTGCCTATCTTAACAGTGACTTTGGAATAAATCTAGATATTCCCTCATAACATTAAGTTAGCACAGTGTTAAGGGACAAATGAGAGTTTTTACGTAAGCTTTATCTGACTGACCCCATCTTTTTTTTTTTAATCTTTATTGTTGAAAGTATTACAGATGCCCCTCCTTTTTTCCCCATTGACACCCTCCTCCTTGCCCCCTCCCCGCCCCCCCTTCACTGCACTGTTTTCTGTGTCCCCTGGGTATGCGTATATGCATGTAAGTTCTTTGGTTTATCTCTTTCCGCCCGCCATCCCCCTTCCCTCTGAGGTTTGGCAGTCTGTTCCCTGCCTCGATGTTTCGGGATCTATTTTTTTTGTCAGCTTATTTTGTTCATTATATTCCACAAATAAGTGATATCATATGATACTTGTCTTTCTCTGAATGGTTTATTTCACTTAGCATAATACTGTCCAAGTCCCTCCATGTCATCTCAGAGGATAAGAGATCTTTCTTTCTTACAGCTGCATGGTGTTCCATTGTGTACATGTACCACAGCTTTTTTTTATCCATTCGTCTACTGATGGGCACTCGGGCTGTTTCCAGATCTTAGCTATTGTAAATAGTGCTGCTATGAACATAGGGGTGCATATACTCTTTCTATTGGTGTTTCAGGCTTCTTAGGATATAATATCCTAGAAGTGGGATCACTGGGTAAAATGGCAGTTCCGTTTTTAATTTTTTAAAGAAACATCAAAGTGTTTTCTGTATTGACTGTACCAGTCTGCATTCCCACCAGCAGTGTACTAGAGTCCCCTTTTCTTCACACCCTCGCCAGCACTGGTTGTTTTATGATTTGTTGATGACTGGCCCTGTCTTTGACTTGACACAGATACGTTAGTCCAAGACTTAAAATAATTCAAGCTTTATGAATTTTGAATTGACTTTACTGCCGTATACATTCACAGAGTTTCTCCGGTGGTCAGCATGTACATTGCAAGCCTGATGGCACTGGGGAGGGAGAGAGACTCAAGACTCCATCACTGCTGATTTTAAGGGGTTAGCTAATGTCTAATCTCAGTATTTGTCAATAAGTGAAGGAGAACAGACCATTAAAAGTTGAACTGTGTTTAAATTTTGATTATTGGGTTTTATTTTCCCAGCTATCAAATAACCTTGGATTAAACAAAATACTTTTCATCACTGATTGTTACTTATTTTTAACCTTAGGTCACACACATTGCTGAAGACCCTCCTTGTAGCTGTTCCCATCGGTTTTCTATTGAATACTTATCTGAAGGACGGTACCGACTAGGGGATAAAATACTCTTTATAAGAGTAAGTCCACCATTTACATCGTATTTACATACAGATCTTCTTTTTAAATTAGATCTATTGCTGTACCAACCTCCTTTTGCTTTTTAAAAAATGTGTGTTATTAATGAAAGAATTTCACTGTACAGAAAAAATATGGAATTCTTGCTTTCATGAATATATAAGGAATTTACATAAACACTTTTAACACAGCAACCAACCAACTTAAGGATAACTAAGACTATTTTGACATTGACTATAATGGGGGGGGGATATTTGTATATCTCAGGTAACTTATCCCATTTTTCAAATTTTCTAAATAGGAATACTTTTTCATCATCATCATAGATAAAAACAAAACAATAGATCTAATAAGATTAAAATGTCAGTAAAAAGAAAAGGACATAGAAACCTAGCAGTTTATAGTAATAGTGATAGTATATACATTGTGTCTTAGGTATAAAACCTTGTATGTCAACACAGTGTCGGTATCTATACCAAAATGCTGATACCCACGTTCGTCTCCTCTGCCGCATCTGCCATCTATAGCTGGTACCTCCTTTGCTGATACGGAGACTAAAGTTTCACCGGGTCAGCATTCTGTCTCCTGACACAAGAGCTGTTTTATTCCTAACTTAGGAATATAATAGAAAAGTATTTAAAGATATAACTTAAACATCCATATTTTCTTTTATTTCATATAGTGTCATTTCCTCCTCATACCCCACCCAGCTCACCCAGGAACACCTACGTGCAGTTCCTTCTCGTTTGCTTTCTTTTCAAAGGCAATTTGACGTAGTGACAGTGCGCAGAGCATGGGAGTTAGAGTTACAATTTTCAGGGCAATGTCATAAATTGTGCATATTTTCCTGCTTAGTGGAGGGGGGCCTGAAATCCACCTTGGTCTGCACTGGCAGACTCAGGATGTGTCCTACCCACACAGAGGCACCATTTGGCTTGGGGTGGTCCGCTGCTTTAGAGGCGAGGCCAAGCTGTGTGATTCGGGACAGCTAATCTCTCCGAGCCATAATGTTCTCATCTGAAAAGAAGAACTAGTAATACATTATATCAAAGTTTTTGAAAGGTTAAAGTGATATAATACATACAAAAGTAATTTATTAAATTGTAAAGAACATGTTTTAGTCATTTTTATCTTTCATTATAATTTCCTTTATTTTTTATGAGGCATATTTTTCCCTGTAAATTCCCATTTTTCCTGCTCTCTTTTAAAAACAAATTTCTTTTTTTTTGTTTATTGATTTTTAGAGAGAAGAAGGGAGAGGGAGAGAGAGAGAAACATCGATGAGAGAGAACATCGATTGGCTGCCTCCTGCATGTCCCCCACTGGGGATCAGGCCCACAACCTGGGCATGTGCCCTGACCGGGAATAGAACCAGCGACCTCTTGGTGCAGGGGTCGATGCTGAACCACTGAGCCACACCAGCTGGGCTCTCTTCTCTCTTTTATTCCTTCAATATTCAATTTTTTGTTGAACAGTATTGCTCTTGCAATTTTGTATATTGGTAATTTGAATTATTTAGGATGCAGGTTGTTTGTAAATATCTTCCTTACAAATTGGAGGATATGTTTTGTTAGTTGCACGATTCAGTAAGGATTAAATTTATTATTTTAATAATACAAGGAAGAGAATGTCAATTTATAGCAAAGCTATTGGAAAATACTCTGAATTTCATAGATCATAGACATTGCAAATTGTGACTGCCAATCATTCGTACCTGTGAACCTTACAGTTTTACAGCTTTGTTTTTTACTTTCTTTTGGGGGAAAGATGCTTCATGGAAAACATGTCATGGTCCGTGTTGGTGGAGGCTGGGACACTCTTCAAGGATTTTTGCTGAAATATGACCCCTGTCGAATATTACAGTTTGCTACACTAGAACAGAAAATTCTATCCTTTCAAAAAGGAGTTTCTAATGAAAGTGTACCGGATTCGCCTGCCAGAACACCCCAGCCTCCAGAAATGAATCCCTTGTCAGCAGTTAACATGTTTCAGAAAGAAAAAGCAAAACCTGGCGCGCCAATTGGTATCCCAAGGAGCAAAGACAAGCCGGGACGCCCACCAGGAGTACTGCTGCCGGCACCTTCCCCGAAGGGAGGTGCCCCGGGCTCCGTGTCAGCCCGTTCTAAAGTGCCCCAGTCTCCAGCAGCCCCCTCTCAACTCAAACTCAGGTCTCCAGCCGGTGCAACTAAGAAGCCGCAGGCTCCTTCAGCTAGCGCAGAAAAAAGTACACCTTCACCAGCCTTTCCAAGAACGGCGCCTTGTGTATCTGAGTCATTGAGAAAAGGTATCTCATCACCCAGTACTCCAAAGGCCAAGTTTATTCCCGCCCAGAAACCCAGAGAGGTGCCTGAGTCTACACTTCTGCCAAATAAGTGTTCTGGAAAAACTGAACCAAAGCGTTTGAAACACAATCATTTATCTTCCAGGGATGATGCGGTGTATCACTCTGCACATCTGAATTCATCCTCAAAGTGTCCAAAGCCACTTAAGCCTTCTCCTTCTGTCCAGTCCCCTGCGAAAATGACAAAACCCAGTTCCAAAAACGTCCCCACGGGCCTGGGAACTCGGTCTCAGTCCGGCGGAGCCCCGCGGGCAGAGGCCGTGCCCGCACTGCAACCTAAGGCAGCCTTGAGCTCGAACCAGCCGCTTTCGGGATCCTCAGTTGCTCCTGCAAAAGCACAGGAGTCAAAAGATAAGAAGATAGTTTCAGTTGCCAAAAAGCAGCCTCAGAATGTAAGTGCAGCCCCGAAGACAGGACCCAGCTCCGCACAGTCCCCTGGTCGCACCCCACTGTCCATCATGAGCCTTCCCCAGTCTTCCACCAAAGCGCACGCGGTGTCAAAGGCAGCGCAGACCGCCAAGAGCCAGCACGCAGCCAGAGGACCTCCAAAGAGTGGCAAAGCCCCCGCTTCAACCAGGAAACCACCCTCAGCCAGCAAGGAAGCAGCCAGTGGAGATAAAAAACCTACTGCAAAGAAAAAGGAAGATGATGACCATTACTTTGTTATGACTGGAAGTAAGAAACCTAGGAAATAAGTACAAAGGTGTCATTTTTAAGAAAACAGAAAGGAAGAGAGTGAATGTGTTAGCTTCACATCTTAAAGGTTCTATCTGTGTGTGTCCAAATAGGTTGAGACATGAAGCACAGTAGTATGCGGGGTGGAGGGTAGGGTGGTGAGGGGGCTCATCAGAATCATGGTATCTGAATTCACCGGAAGGCACCCTTTTGAGGCAGGAAGTTGTAAAATCACCACAATGTTCTGATGAATGAGAGACATTTATCTGATTTTCAGTCCATAGACTCTTTATTAATGTCTGCCCCTTAAGGGAAATGTAAGGTTAAATAACACTACTAGAGCCCTGGCCAGTTTGGCTCAGCGGTTGAGCGTCAGCCTGCCGACCAGAGAGTCCCAGGTTTGGTTCCTGCCAGGGGCACGTACCACAAAACAAAAACAAAAACAAACAAACAAAAAAACCAAAAACACTACTAGAGCTATAACTATAGTGGCTATATATATATTTAAATTTTTTTTTGTTTATTGATTTTAGAGAGACAGTAAGGGAGAGGGAGAGAGAGAGAGAAACATCCATGAGAGACAGCATCGATTGGCTGCCTCTTGCATAACCCCCAGTGGGGATCAGGCCCACAACCTGGGCATGTGTCCTGACCAGGAATCGAACCAGTGACCTCTTGGTGCATGGGTCGACACTCAGCCACTGAACCACACTGTCCAGGTAATAGTGGCTATATTTTTTAATGTTAAGTATAGGTTTATATTTATATAGAGAGGTTACATATCTGCTAGTAGCAACAGTGGTGCTCTTAATATTAGCTACTGCATTTTACTAAAAAAGCAATGGTTTGACACTTGTCTTGTCAAAGGCACCTAACTTCATTTTCTGATCAGGGTTGTCTGAGCAAACAGTACTAAGTACCAGTGGCTGCTGCTGATTAGCTTGGCATTATTCTGGGTTTGGTAAAATTCTTACTCCTTTCTTTTAAGCTTCTTGAATCAGAGGGAACTGACTTTTTAACTGGCTCATTAACACTGGTAACATTTTGTTACCACTATTTTTGGTTAAAAAAAGAAGAAAGTAAATTAAGATATTGCAGTGTCAACAGAAATTTGCTAAAATCCAAGGGTTTTCATACTATTTATAAGAATTTACACCTTATACTTTAGCTGGTTGTTGTACAATGTGAAGAGGGAAACTGATTTAGTAGCTTTTAGCAAATTGAAACTTTTCAACAATGTACAGATATGAATTTTTACATTAATATAATGTTTTAACATCAGAATTACACTTTAACAGTCTTAAAATTAAGATGATAAAGAAGCTTAGAATGGTGCTATATCAAAATTCTATCGTGGTCATTTTTCTTTACATGGCACAATACCAGTGTTGATTAGATCGCTCTGAGTACATGAATTTTCTTTTTAAAAATCACTCTGCCTTCAGGTTTGCAATGGCAAGTAACAGTGTGTGTGCAGCATTTTTCTGCTTGGTAGTCAGATTCTCCAAGGAACATGTCCAGATCATATATGACTACATAGACTCCATCCATCTAAGATGATGTTTCTAAATTGTTTTTTAAGAGATTGTGAATATTTGAAAAATTATTAATGTGCTTTCAGAAGTTTTAGGGGAATTTTTAATAATTTTACAGTATTATCAGTTATCACAGGTTATTCAGTATTGAGGTTTGTGTTTCTCTATTTGAAACTGTAATCTGTTTTCTAAAGAAAAATAATGGTTTACACAAATGTGCAATCATAGAATAAGCCTCTGAAACTGACTACTAATGCTCTGTAGATTATAAAGTAAGAAAACTATAAAACTAAGTGATCTTTTGTCTTGTCTGAGGCATATAGTTAAAATAAAAAATGTATGCAAGCTAGTTTTTGGAATAATTGATGCTTTTCTTTTTAGAAGGACAGTCACCAAATATTTGGTTTAGTTTTGCTGTAGATCTGAGCACTGAGTGAAATAATATATACATCTTTGGAAAGTGAAGTTAATATTCAAGAAATGCTAGAAGCTTTGCATTTTTTCAGTGATCAGAAATACTTAATGCATCTTTCAAAGAAGAAGAATTTTACCTTCAAGAAAGGTTTATTTTCTTGTAAGAGGAAACAATACTTCTGTATGAGTAACTTCTAGAACTTAAAAAAAAGTAAATGATATTATAGCCAAGCTATGAATCAAACTAGATTTTACAATATGTGAGCTTTTGTTATGAGAATCTTCAGGAATAAAAGCATCCCACAGACATCTGGCACAAATTCCAAGAATTGTTTGTTTGTTTTTTGAAAAATGCGAACTTCATTTATAAAGAGCCTTATTTTCAATAGTAGGGGATTTTTCCAGTTATAAGTCATGTTGAATGAATTTTTATTTATGTATTGTTTACCCTTCTAAAATAAAGGTTTTTCGAAACAAACAGTGCCTGAAAGATACTTCCTTCAAATATATTTTCAAATGCTGTTAAAGGAGAGCTAGTATCTCTAATCATTTTCACAATTAAAAAAAGATATTGTTGAAGTTGGAAAGTTTTTATTTCTTTTTAACAATAGTGCAATTGTAAAAAGTATATTGTGTTTAATATTTAATAAGTCAATATTAAGCTTAAGTTATGAAATAACTAGAAGAAATGTGTACTTTCATAAAAGAATGGAATAAGGTTTTTTGTTTGTTTTTTAACTATAATCGGTTAACAGACTTATATCAAATTAATCTTCAGAGAAGCATGGAATTCTGATAATTTTTGAATCATTGGGCTTACATTAGGTGTTAAAAGCTTATATCTTCAAAATGCCCTGATACTTTCCTCCCCACAATGAGTTTACAATTCTTAATGGATGAGGGAGATTTTTTTTTTTAAAAAAAGCAGAGTATTCCTTTTGCAGTCTATCTCCATGTGATTTAAAAATCTGTTATTCTTTAAAAGGCTTCCAAACATCCAGGCCCACATACTGACTCTATTTGAATACAGTTTTGTGTAATTCTTTCCTTGTGCCAGCAGTGTTTGTATCAGATTTATATTTTCTCAAGTATTAAAATGTACACATGTATACCAGATTCTCGGTTTGCTTTGTCTGTGTATTCTGAATATATTCTGATTGCTTGGTTTATGCGAGAAATTGCAAATATGAAGCAGTCATAATTTGAGAATAATTTTAATTGTATTACTGTTTAAAATGCCTTCCTTATACTTGTGGAATTTATTTCATTGTATCAGGAGATTATAAGGTTTTGCCATTGTATAACAGTATTTGATCTCAAAATTGCTATATCTGCTAGAAGTTTGTCTCAGTATAGCTAGATTCATATTTATTAATCTCGGAGATAATAGAATGAATTTATCAGTTATTAAAGCAGAATTCTATAGATCACAAAAGCATTGTGTTCACATAAAACTACTGATAGTGGGAATTTTCAATTTCTATAATATAGTGAGAACAGTCTTGAAATACTATTTTTTCCCCAGTATTCATGATAAGAGCAATTATAAAAAGCAGTTAATTCAATATGTACTTCCTGTGATGTTTCCAAAATGAAAATGAAAACACCACTTAGGCAAAATTCTTATTAAATTTTCCTAACCATTTGTGAATGTAAAATCTTTAAACGTATTTTGTGAAATTTTGGGGAATATTAGGAAAATATTAACAAAACATTTGCCAGTAAATCTAAAAATATAAAGACATATTAAATTTAAGCTGTTTTCCTACAACATACTGTTCATGTAGAAAAGCACAGTAAGACTTGATCTAGAAGAAATAATAAAAGTAAAGATTTAGCTATAAGTATGTTAATCATAGCACATCACTGATACTGGTATAATGACAAAAATAGAAGACCATGCAGCCATTAAAAACAATGAAGGCCTAGCTGATGTGGCTCAGCTGGTTGGAGCGTTGTCCTGTACACTGAAGGGTTGTGGGTTCCATTCCCGGTCAGGTTGCGTATGGGAGGCAACTGATCAGTTTCTCTCTCCTTCTCTGACATCAATAAAAACATATCCCCAGGTGAAGATTAAACAAACAACAACGTAGGTGTTGATTTATCTTTTTTTTGTTTTTATGCTCACGTGAGGACACTTTTGCATTTATCTTCAGATAGAGCAGGAGGGAGAGAGGGAGGAAGAGAGAGAGAAACATCGACATGAGAGAGACACATCAACTGGTTGCCACCCACACAACCCCAACCGGGACTGGGGACAAACTACAACCAAGGTATGTGCCCTTAGCGGAACCGAACCCGGGACTCTCTGGTCCGCAGGCCAATGCTCTTACCTGCTGAGCCAAACCGGACAGGGTGATGAATTATGTATGGTGCCCTGGCTGGTTTGGCTCAGCGGTTAGAGCTCTGGCCTGCAGACCAGAGAGTCCTGGGTTCGGTTCCGCTAAGGGCACATACCTCAGTTGCAGTTTGTCCCCAGCCCTGGATGGGGTCGTGTGGGTGGCAACCAGTCGATGTGTCTCTCTCACATGGATGTTTCTCTTGCTCTCTCCTCCCCCTCTCCCTCCCACTCTATCTGAAGATAAATGCAAAAATGTCCTTGGGTGAGGATTAAAAAAAAAAAATTATGTATAGTGATGAAGGGGTTTGTTTTGAGAGATTGCAGTGATAAAACATTTATATATAATATTTCTTAATTTTCTGTTTTTGGCCATGATCAGCATAATACTTATTGCATGATTTATGGGCACATGACATGTGTTATCTATTATAATTAACCCCTTGTGGCTAGCCTTTCACATAATACATTATATTTAATATGACCAGCTTTCATAAGTGTCTCGCTAAACTATGTCACAAGTTATATTGTAATGAATGAATATAATAAATAGAATAGATTAGTGTTGGGTATGACTGTTGAGGACCTCTAGTGGTCAAATGTGGCAATACTAACTTTCTACTGAAATCACCGTTTGCTGAGTTATGGGAGACGAAAAGAGGAATAAGACAGTCATCACATTCAAGAACCTTGGATTTATATAGCACTTTGCAACTCACAAAATACTTAATTAAAATGGCATCCAGTCTTCTGAACAGTCCATGGGATAGTATGATCTTAGAATATAAGCACCGTGAAGACAGGACTTGCCATCTGTTTTGTTTACCACTGTGTTCCCACAGCCTAAACCATTGCCTGGAGTATGTAAATATATGTAGGCATTCGGCAAATACTTACTAACAAACTGAATGAACTCTCTTTTTGTAGATGAGGAAACCAATACTCTAGAAAGTAGACAGTAAATACATAAATATCTACTAGGAATGACATTGGATTTTACTTAAAGAACAAATTTATTTTTACCTACTTATACTTTTTAAAAATTTTTATTGTTGAAAGTATTACAGATGTCTCCCTTTTTTCCCCACTGACCCCTCCTTCCCTCTCCCACTCCCTTCCTACCTTTCCCAGCTTAATGTGCGTGTTGATTGGTTGTGCATACATACATGTAAGCTCTCTGGTTTATCTCTTTTCATCCCTCCCACCTCCATCCGTCAGAGGTTTGTCAGTCTGTTTCCTACTAATACTTTCCCACAAACTTGATTTGCTTTTCACATTGATGTGATAAAGAAAATAGGACTAGACATTTAAAAAAAAAAAAATCCCTTCTGCTTTTTCTTTATTTCTTCTGAGAAAAATCTTGATTTAATTGTTTTTGGATTACCCTTTATTTTAAGTATTCTAAACTTGAATATATTTAGAGATTAGTGTATTCTTATGTTTTCCCCTCACCCAAGGATATGTTTATGTTTTGTTTTTTATTGATATTAGAGAGAGGAAGGGGGGCTGGAAACATCGATCAGTTGCCTCCTGTGTGCACCTGACCGGGAATCGAACACACAACCTTTTAGTGTATGGGACGATGCTCCAACCAGCTGAGCCAGGGCACTTAACTATGTTCAAAGTATTGTTCTTGGAATAATGACTTATTACATCCAATAATCAGGACAGTACTCTGTACAATTTGCTGGATAAATGAGAAGAGAAAAATAAGTAAATTCGAACACAAAGTACTTATGTTAGCAATTAATATCAATTTTCTGACAATGCAGTGGAAATAAAGATTGGTTAAAGATATGACTGTAGGTGGCCCTAGAACCTCCATTTAAAAGAACACTTAAAAATAAGTGAGCAGGTCTCACATGCTTCTTGTAAAAGGAATAAACTCATTTCTCTCACAGAGCCCTGAAATGTGATAGGAGTTGTGTCCTGCAGATCCCTCCAGTGATTCATTGCACCGTGCAGGCGCTCAGGCGCCCAATTAGCATCTGGAAGACTAGGCGAAACTGGGGTGTATGCTGGAATTGTGGGACATCTAAAATTTTAATCCTAAGCACTGAGGTAAGCAAAAGTAAGTGCCTTTAAATAGTAGTTTGCAATAGTGTCCATTTCTCTGAAGCACCAGCAAAAACCACTTTGAAGTTCATGAAGTCCCAGGTATCCTTCCAGGTTAAAGAGAAAAACTAACACCACTGAGAGTCAGAGCCTGTGAAATTAGTGCAGCCCGAAGGGCAAGTTAGGCGGGAATAGTCGGGAGCCTCCTGAGGACATTGTAGCAGGGGAGGCTCTATTCTCTTGACTGGACCCTCTCCTCCCCCTACCTTTCACCTGGCTCACAGTTGAAACTTCCAGTCCCTCCAAGCCTGGACTGGATGCCTCTGGTCCAGTGTCTTCCCCAACGGCACTTTCCCTGTCATTGCACCCAAGACTCTCTTATCTCAATCCCTCACCAACCTGATGATGGGAACCTTGTCTCACTTGTTCACCGTGGCATCTCCTGCTTTGCCTAAATGTTTGTGGAGGAACGGAGGAAGGGACGGATACATCCTTTTACTGGTGGAAATGAGCATCAGTGCGTGTAAAAGTGAGCCTCTGGTTTAGTAATGTTGACCCACCTGCAGCAGAAGGGTGTTTCCTGGGAAGATGTAGATGCTGGAATTCTGCAAACATGACCTTACTTTGGAGAGGAGAGCGAAGTAACGAGAGTGGCCTTAGAGATACGGATTTCTTTGGTGACATTCACACAACGGGGAATGCTGCCGTTGTACAGAGGAAAATGTTAGAAACTTCCCAACTTTCTATCCAGGTTTTTGCTTTAAAACATTTGTTTTCAGGGATGTGAGAGCATACTCAGAGCATCACATGCAGACTTAGATGAGCACGGTCCTGCTGCTACGTAGTTCAGTCCTTACGTTGAGCAGATGAGGGAACTCGGGCCTGGGAGCGTGTTGCTAGAGCCTGTTAGCTGCAGAGTAACGACCTCTGAGCAGGAGAATGAAAGGGATGGTAGAGGTGGTTGTCCCAGGGGTTATGTGAGTCCTTCCAGTTGTTGGCTCCTTCAATGGGTTCTAATTGCATTGAGTCCAGCTCAGCATATTCCTTGTATTGCCTGCATTTTTTTCTTTATTGATTTTAGAGAGAGAGAAACATGGATGAGGGAGAACATTGATTGGCTGCCTCCTGCATGCCCCTCACTGGGGATTTGGCCCACAACCTGGGCATGTGCCCTGACTGAGAATCAAACTGGTGACCTCTCAGTACCTGGGTCGATGCTCAACCACTGAGCCACATGGCTGGGCTGTATTAACCGCATTTGCAATTGGTTCTATTCAACCATAATGCAGTGAAACACCAGTTCATTCATATGCTCATCAAGCAAACAATTTTTCTGGGTGCCTACTCTGTGCCAGCCACTAAGCCATATGCCAGGGATACAGTGATATGACTGGTCACTGCTCTCCAGGAGATACAATCTTCATTCAGGTGGTTTTTCCCATCATCCTGTATTGTGTTGATTGAACACCTTTTACACATACTGCAGAGTGGAGCACACAGATTCACTGGAAGACACTGCCGGACCTCAGTGAGTTGCGCTTTTAGCTTTTATTTTTAAATTGAATTTATTGGGGTGACATTGATTAATAAAAGTTATATATGTTTCAGGTGTACAATTCTATACTACATCATCTGTATATTGAATTGTGTGTTCACCACCCAAGTCAAGTCTACCACTTTCTCCCCCTTTACCCTCTTCTGCCCCCCCCGCTTCCCCTCTGCGAATCACCATACTGTTGTCTGTGTCTATAAGGAATTTTTTTTTTTTTGCTTAATCCCTTCACCTTTTTCACTCAGCACCCCCGCCAAGTCCCCTCCCCTCTGATAGCTCTCAGTCTTTTCTCTATATTTTGTTTGTTTTGTTCATTAGATTCCACATATAAGTGAAATCATGGTACTTGTCGTTCTCTGATCGGCTTATTTTACTTAGCATAATGCTCTTCAGGTCCATCCACGCTGTCACAAAAGGTAAGATTTCCTTCTTTTTTACGACTCAGTGGTATTGCATTGTGTACATGTACCACAGCTTTTTTTATCCACTCATCTACTGATGGACTCTTGGGCTGTTTCCAGATCTTGGCTATTGTAAATAACACTACAATGGACACAAGAATGCATGTGTTCTTTCAAATTAGTATTTCAGGTTTTTTGGATATATTCCAGAAGTGGCATTGTTGGGTCATAAGGCAGTTACATGTTTTGGTTAAAAAAATATATATGTAGATATTGTGATATACTTTTTGACTGTAGCTCATTCAGGTCTTTCTTTGTGATTTATTTTACCCGTGGGATAAAATACCTTGATGAGAACAGCTTGTATTTTCTCCTATTGCTTCAGATCAGGAGCCCATCAAAGTAAATGAAAATTTGTTTTTGAGCCTCAAGAACAAGAGTCATTTACCTCCAATTGTCACTCAGAAAATAGAGCAGTAAGGATCAAGTCTTATACATGGGGTTGGATACAGAAAGGGATCTGGACTTTCTCTGGGTAATCCTTTACTTTAAAAATCAAGAAATGCACGTGAATACAAGCATGCTTCTCTAACTATAGACTATTTCCGGTGACTCTGGGAATTAGCCCCCACCCCACCTCCACTAAGCTCCACCTCAGTCTTGACAAGTGTGCCGAATAACAAAGATGGGATCTCAAACAAGCTGCACGTGGGAAGGTTGGTTTCCCTCCAGCTGCCTCAGTTATGTTGGAGGAGCACAGCTTCAAGCAGACACTCCCTGTGATTTGGCATCTCAGTGCCTTGTCTTGCTCCCCAGCGGATGACAGAGGAAACTTGTCCTTCGAAATGCATTGCTGGGAATCACACCACACCTTCTGGGCCTTTGCAGCATCTTCTCGGCTGGCCCGTAGCCCCAACGAACCCACAGGCATCCTGGGAAGAGCTGGTGTGTTAGGTCAGCTCTTTTGATGGCAAGAGACAGATGCACTTCACCTTTCTCTAATGATGAGATATTTTATGGATATACAGAGCCAAAAGGACAACAGGAATCTGGAAGCAACCCAGAAATATCTGTACAGTGAGCCTCACCAAAATTGGAACGAGAGAATCATCCAGAAGCTCTAGAGACAGGTAATCTCATCTCCCTGCTGCAACCCGAGTCCCCGTTCCTCTCTGATGCTCTGCCGTGAGCATACTCTGCCCAGCCGCCAAGTGTCTTCTCCTCTTCGTATGTTTTCTTGCATCATCTCTGAAAAAGCAAAAGCAAAAACTACCTGATCCCATTTGCCAGTTCAGTCTCAAGAGAGAATCTGATTTGCGTAATTACCTTTGTTTCTTCTTCTTCTTTTTTTTTTGGTGGTACATGCCCCTAGCGGGAACCGAACCCAGGACTGTCTGGTCCGCAGGCCGACGCTCAACTGCTGAGCCAAACTGGCCAGGGCTTAATTACCTTTGTTTCTTTTGGGGGCAGAGTGTTTTTGCTCCAGGTCACTGCACAGGTCACTAGTCAGCCATTGAACTGTCTGCCCTTCGATCATATTCTCATCCCCTTGATCAATCAGCGTGGTGAACAGATAGGTCACATGGCCTAGAGTATGGCTACTTTAATGTAAGGAGTTCCTTTGTTCACTTGTCTTAGCAGGAGCCATGTAGTTTTCTTCAAAAGGCAACTTGACTGATTTGCCTAGTACTCTTGGAAAACAAGCCCAGAATTTGGTTGAATTTGGTCTGAGCTACCTAGGAAGAGCTGATGCATCAAGGAACCATCAATTTCCAGTATTGATCTTTTCTGTCAAGCTCATTGAGACCACTATGATGCAAATGTGTGCCTTGGATCCTTCCAAATCCAAATCGGCACTTTTGGTGGCTGGAAATGCTCAATTACAGAGTGTTACTGAGGATGAGTATCAATAATATCTAAATCAGAAAGGCTTATTTTATCCCTGGATCCTGGAGACTCACCAACCTCCCCTGAATTGGCCCACTCAGGATCTTCCAAATCCATTTTCTGAATGGGAGCTAAAACGTTCTAGACCCTTCCCAATTTCCAGAGAAGCCACTCCAACCCTTACCTTATACAGTAGTGTCAACACAAGATATTGATTTGATCAGCTCATTGAAACTGTTAGTCAAACGAGTGCTTGGGAATCATGTAAATAGAACTATGGGTTGGTTGAGTTTTTCTTGTTGGTGATTGCGGTGTTGTAGACACAGTCTGAGATGCCCAGAGTTTATTTTATCAACCATAACCATTTCTATCCCTGAAATTCTGTCCCAGTATGATGTTCAATGACTTCCTGAAAGTGTTCAAGGGCTTTTACCTGTCCTCTTTGTTTTTTCCTTCTAAGAAATTCCTTTCAGATGAAGTGGCACAACTGTATACAAGATAAATTAAGATTGATTATTTAACACACTAGTTTTGAAACAGGTAAAGATGTTAAATATATTCATTGCTTACTATGCCTGTTTGCCTCCTAGGACAGCAGAGCTTTGCTGTCTCAATTCTTTCTTATTATTTAAATGGTTGTGAAAAGAAAAAGAGGAGGAGGAGGAGGAATAAGAAGGAGGATGAGGAGGAGGAAGAGAAGGAAGGAGACAAAGGAGAAGAAGGAGAAGGAGAAGAAGGAGAAGAAGAGGAGGAGGAGGAGGAGGAGGAGGAATAAAGAGGAGGAGGAGGAGGAGGAATAAAAAGGAGGAGGAGGAGGAGGATGAGAAGGAGGAGAAGGAAGGAAGACAAGGAGAAGAAGGAGAAGGAGAAGAAGAGAAGGAGGAGGAGAAGGAAGGAAGACAAAGCAGAAGAAGGAGAAGGAGAAGCGGAAGGAGGAGGAGGGAGAGCGGGAGGGGAGGGGGAGAGGGAGAAAGGAAGTGTTAGCAGATTTCATCACCATATGTGGAACTTCTTCCTAAAACCTAAAGGGGTTCCGAGATCACACTTAAATAGAACCCACTTTGTGCCAGACGCTATTCTAAGTGCTTTACATATAGTGATTCATTTAATTTTTACAACTCTGTGAGCTATATTCTATTATCCCTGTTTTACAGATGACAAAGCTG